GCTGACCATACTATTTCAGGGCAGAATCTTACCATTTTTTTGGTCTATATCTTTGTAATAACCTTATTGGTATACTTAATCTCCAATCTCTTCCCATTGTAATCGGTCCTGGACATCAATCCACACTTTTTACAAAACATTGCTTTCATCCTGTCATTTCTTTGTGTAATTCTATTCATATCAAATCCAAATCCCTAATTTCACACATACAGCCCTTAAGCCCCTAGATTCCTTTAGTTTTACAAATATTTATTTTTTAGTTATTTGGTGCGGAGGATCAAACCCAGGCCCTTGCCCTTTGAATGCTATGCATGTGCTGTACATAAGCAAGACTACAGCTACAAATAAATAAAATCAATGTTTATCAAGTGCTGATGAAGGTAAACACTCACCATCCAACAAGACAACACTGGCGGCATCATCTCTGTTAGATGACATGGCTCAGTGATAGCACCTAGGGGCTAGCACAGGAGGGCGTGTGGCCAACAGGATAGGGTCTGAGTGATTCCTGAACATAATGGCAAAATGGCACACCAGACCAGCAGGCCAACTACAGCACTTCAAGATATTTCCTTTAGTGCACTCAGGAAATAAGCTGTGACCACAGGTCCACAGTCTGAAGAGAGTAAAGACAAAATTAGAATGTCCAGACTCCTCATACTGTGGCAAGAAATACCTGACTAATCCAAGGAGAACAAGTTGTTTCAACCCCCAATGACTCGTCCCCTACATGAGTTTCAATGTTTGCACTGTCCAGTGTACAGCATGCTCTGCATTAGTGCTGGTAGTGAAGGTAGTTTGGATGTGGATAGTCTTTGGAGCAGGGGCCAGAGCTCCTAAGAAGCAGGCATGCCATGGTATGAGTATTTAAATTTACTAGCAATTGTCTAAAGACTTTATTCCAGCTGGCCAAGGTAGGTTTGCCTGATAGGGCCCACATGTTTAAAATGCCATTCTTTCTACCAATCCTGCTGCCTGAAGGATACACGGCAAATGAATGTGCCATGGTAAGTCATGTGCTTAGTTAGGCCCAACCCAGACAGCATGGCCTATGAAATGGGTGTCCTGGCGTTACAGTTTAGATCTAAAGTGGTCCCCAAAGCTTCATATCATTTGGCCAGGTAACTGGGTTATCACTGAAAAGCTCTAAAAGGTTCACCATCACTACCCTAACACAATTGCAAGGTTTCAGGCATTCAGTCACTTGGCATGGTGAGGTGATTTTATAGGTAACTATGAGTGTTAAGGCTTGTGCCTAGATGTCCCCCCAAAGCCTCATGCAGTCATAGGTGGGGCTTTTCAGAGGTGGCTTGATCTAGAGAATGCAATGCTGGGATTGATTCAGAGTGCGATGCTAGCTCAAGGGCACTAAGATTAAGAAGGTGAGTGCTACCCACCCTAAGTAACCTGGATCACATCTAAGGAACAGAAAGCTGTGCTCGTCTCTTGCTTGCTTTGCTATCTTCTACCTGCCACAGACTGTTTTTCCTCCACAATGCTTGTCTGCCGTGCCACTCTGCTTTGCAGCCTGCCAGCTATGGACTGAAATATCTATGAACTATGAGCTAAATAAACCTTTTATCCCTTAATTTTGGGTGTTGGGTATTTTGTCTCAGCAATGAGAAAAGTAACTAAGACACTGGGCCTAACATTATCTCCAGATTAGGAGTCACTGGAGAGGACACACGTTGTAAATATGCATACCAACAGGCATCTGTACTAAAGTGGATTAGAGCTGGTGAAATAGGCCATCCAACCCATCCTTTATATGTAGGCCTGTTCACACAGTGATCGATAGAGACTTGGTCAATATTTTTACCTGTGTAGTAAAGCACTGTATACTGCTGTTCTAAAGGGATATATCTAATTTCAGCTCCCTTCCAGAACTGTGATCAAAAATATAGAGGTAACTTTTATCCTTATCGTTCTTGCCTGACAGCCCAGTTCATGCCATCTCCTGTACTGGTGACATTTAATTACATTTACATATCTGGTGGAGGGATGCCAGGAACTGGCACATGGGCTGTCAATGTCTTTGCTTTTTCAAGTGCTTCCTGCAGCAGGACATCTCAATCACATGTGGTTCTCTTCCTAATCTTGGGAACAGGCATTGAAATTCCTCCAATAACCAGGGATCCCTACACTGACACATCCTTTACCACATAAGGGATGGAGAAAGTTTGCATTTTATCCTACACTATCTCTAGAACCAATGTTTTGTTTGTTTTGGGTTTTTTGTATCTTGCACATGATTAGCAAGTGTTCTACTATGGAGCTACACTCCAGCCTAATCAAATTATGCAATCAGACCACTTCTAGAACTTTTGCCCAGGGTCATGAACCATTTGGGGGTTGAAAACCCATCCCCTAGTGCATAGATCAGTACGCAGTTGTTCTGGAACACAGTATAATCTTCACCAGTTATTCTATCATCAATATAATGAAACCAGATATTAGAAATAAATAATATTCATTGCCTTTGCTCCCAAGTAAAGCAGAACTGATCTTGCAAGTCCAGTTTTAGAGAAATGCTGAAAAGTCACGAGCTAAATCCCAAGCAGCACGCAAACAGCCAAGGGAGAATGGAATTGATTTTTTTAAATTTTTATTTAAGGAGAAAAAAGAAAAAAAAACAGAAAAAGCGTACAAGTTATACAGACTTTCAGAAAAAAATAAACAGTAGGAAATCACTAGCTAATTACATATTGTTATCTTAGAAATAGTTGTTGAAGTTACAAAATAAAACCTATAGAAGGGACTTTCAAACAGTGAGACTGCAAACAGTTTTGTTCAGTGATCCAACAAAACTCAGTAATATGGTTATCTATCTTATACACTTAAATATATATGCAGTTATATCTTTTAGAGAACTTTCTTTTCTTTTGTACAATGACAATTACACATTTTGGGTTTTATTACTCCCACAGTTCTTATTACTTAAACTTAATTTTTTTTCTACCTTTTTATTTTTTTAAATTGGTACTGGGGATCGAACTTACAACCGCCTGCTTGCAAGGCAGGTGCTTATGCCACTGAGCTAAATCCTCTTTAAGTGCCTGAGTAGTCCTAGGTCCCGGATAGGACTATCAAGTTATCTAATTCCTTATAGCCGGAGTCATTCCCCAAGTTCTATTTGGCTTTTTCACTGGCCAGACAGGGCTACTGAAGGCACTGTGGGCAGGTCATGAAATTCAACCCACTCTAAATCATTTAAGGTCTCTCCAAATTCAGCACCTGGCAAGTTATACTGCCTAGTATGTTGTACTGCTTTCCTATTGAAAATAAGACCCTCAGAGCTAGGTGTGGTGGCACATGCCTGTAACCCCAGCACTTACAGGAGGTTGACAGCAAGAGGATCGCTGAGTTTGAGGCCAGTTTGAGCTACACAGTGAGTTCGAGTTCAGCTTGAGACCGTCTCCAAAAAAGACAAAAGGGAAAGAGAGAAGGCTCTCAGGATCCATTTTGCATTCCCCCATATTGCCTTCACTATCTGAAATTTTTTACTAAAATCCCCCACAGAGGTCTGTAATGTCTAACAGCATACCTGTTCCTAGAATGTTCTCATGGACTGGCAAAATTGGTACCTTCCAGGTATAGTTCCTTCCCATTTCCTCCACAAGAGTATCTCTGATTTGCCTACTTTAAAGAACTGTCATAGAATTTTAGAACTGAAGATTCTTGACACAGTAGTTGAGAAGACCTGTGACATTACCTGAGGACTGAGACTATGTCTTTATCAACCTTCTATTCCACCTATGTCTATTCCACACATATGAAGTATGGCCCACACCAAGACCATACTTCCAGAACTTTTCCTCTCACTAAATGAATAGTACAATCATAAACAGTTTGTGCTAATAGAGTTCTGCGAACAATAAAACATGATACAGATTCGGAAACTTTCACAACTATTCTCCCCTCCCCCAGAGCCTCCCAGAACTCATAACAGAGGCATTAGTGTGGAGAAAATAAACACACAGCTAAGTCACATGTCCAGGGTCACATACACTAAAGGAAATGGCATCACTAAGATCCAGTTTTCAGATGAGATTTTCTACCATCCTCCATGGAAGTTAAATTTCCTACATGCCCAAGAAAACCATTAACCTTGGAAGCAGCTAAATGTCATTTCTAGGAATACTTCTCAGTTTCAAGTATTTGTTTACTAAAACAGTTTATCAAGCACCTACTATGTGTCAAGTATGACACCCAGTGTTGGGGGTGCAGCAATGAAAAAGGGAAGAACAGAAGTGTCTGCCCACTGTTTAGGGAGATGATAAAAAATGAGGAATAAATGCATAAACAGAACAGGTAACAAGTGCTATAAAAAAAAAGATAACAGTAATGGGGGGGCTCTATATGGTTTTTGTGGGCAGTATTTCAGAAAGAGTGGCCAGAGAAAGCCTCTTAGAAAAGTACCATCTAAATTGATATCAAGCTTGGACTTCAGCAGGTATTTAAGGAAAGACACTTTACACCAACCTAGCTCAGAGAAATGCCAAATAAAAGGAAAAAGGGTTCAGCAGTTGTTCTGCCCAATGGCTCCTCCCACCCCCCACCCCCGCCAGCCTGACAGCAAAGTGGACAGTTCCCGGCCTATCCCGCTGAAGCCACTAGGGGGCGCCTCGGGCCCTCCCACCTCACCAAGGCACTAGAGCCCCAGGCTGCCATACTAACACCTGATACCTAACGGGCCAGGCCTCGATGACCCGGCCACAGGCAAAGGTCAAGGGCAGCGCCGAGAGGCCCTGAGGCCCTAGGGAATCGCAGAGGGTACTAGCCCCCTCAAGGAGACGGTGTCCTCTGGATTACAAACCCACCACCGGTCGAAATCCAAATTCCCTCCAGGAGAGCCCATTTCCGGCGTCTGAAAACCGGAAGTATCGCCTCGTCCAATCCTGATCCTTCTTCCACACTCAGAAAGTGGAATCCTTCCCCAGTATCAATCAGCGCTCAGGAAGGGCGCATGCGTTGTGAGACAGTAAACTTTGACCTGGAGGCGACCTCTTCTCTCTCCCCCACCCTTGTAGTGAAGATGGCGCTGTCCAGGGTGTGTTGGGCTCGAGCTGTTTTGTGGGGTTCGGCTATCACTCCTGGACCTATTGTCACCCGTAGGCTACAACTTGGTCGCTCCCGCCTTGCTTGGGGAGCCCTTCGGTGAGGAACTTGGAGAGATAAAGCCTTTTTTTTTTTTTACGTCCGAGTCCTCCAGTGGTTCAATTCTGCTTGCTTAATTCTCGGGGTTTCTCGCCTTTTGCCCGGAATTTTTTCATATTGCACAGGATTTGCACCCCGATCTCCGCTAAGGAACTGGTTCCTGATCTGTGGACTCCCAGTGCCCTGTTGTCTGTTCTCTCCCGCGTGTCCTAAGTTTATTTTTCAGCATCCCCTTTTCAGCTCAGGTTTTACCGCTATTATCCAGATCCTGCCTCTCTGGCCTTAGCTTGCAATGCAGATTCCCCAGGACTTGCACGCTTATACGACCAGGCTTATACCACCTCCTGACTTCTTTTACTACTTGTTTTCTGCCGAATCTGTCCCTCTCAATCCGATTGCTTATATCTCCTTGAACTCAGGATCTTCTTTGTATTCCAAGGTTCAAGTCGTATATGAGATTTGTGTTTTACACTGGAGACCCCAAGTGTGCTGGGGCTTCTAGGATTGGTTCCCAGATAGTCCCTTTGATCTTCCTGGTAGGTCGTCAAAGCTTCACCTGTCTCCAAAGGCAGATATGAAGAGCTTGATCTCTTATGTGGTGACCAAGACAAGAGCGATTAATGGGAAATACCATCGTTTCTTGGATCGTCATTTTCCCCGCTTCTATATCCTGTACACAATCTTCATGAAAGGTAAAAACAGATCTGATACAAATCCCGGAATCAGTTTTCAGCAATGTCAGAGAGTTAGAATAAGTGAGATCATTTGCAGGTTCTGCTATAGGAATGTGAGCTGGGATGTCTTCTATTTCACAAATGTTTGTGCATTCAACTAATTCCTTTAAGTTAGCCATTCTTGAAAATGTTTCTAGAAAAATGTTATGAGTGACAACACAGAAGAAGGAGGATGATGTAGGTCTATCCTTGTATTTTTCTTAACCACACTCTTGGCTAGAGAAGTTTCTTGTCCTGCACAAGGGCAAGAACCTGCAACTGCACAGACCTATCCTGTGACTTACCTATTGTTATAGAATCATAAAAAAATGTAGCCTGGTACTTTACACAAACCTATCTTACATATCATGTACTGGAAATAGCACTACATGTACTTGACTAAGAAATTACATACATAATGTCAAATGTTCACTTGCACCAGACTGCCTGATTCAAATCTCAGCTTGGGCCAGAAATTTAGCTCAGCGGTATAAGCGCCTACCTGGCAAGTGCAAGGTCGCGAGTTCAATCCCTGGTATCAAAAAAAGTAATCAAATCCAGGCTTGTCACTTAGTGACTGTGTCACTGAACTAGTGACTTAACTTCTTTGTCCCTTGGATTTCGTATCTTTAGTATAAAAATAATAAGTATCCACTGACTACATTGTCCTTTTTTCAGTCATTTTACTGATACATTTTAATTGTACATAATGATAATATTCATCATAGGGAATTTATACCTGTACACAATATAACTTGTTTTTACTTCCATTCCCTTCCCCTCCCTTCAACTCCTCTGTCCGTCTCCATTTACAGAAGCTTTATTTACATGGTTTCCTTCTTTTCTCATATTTTTTTACTTTTCCCTTCTTTCCTTTCCTTTTCCCCTCTTCTTTGTTCCCCTCCTCATTTGAACATTTTCTTCCTATTTCACAATACCTGTTATACATTTGGCTTCTTATTTATACCTTCAGTTTCTCACACCAGAAAAACAGTGTGATATTTACACGTGTGTCTAATCTATTTCATGTAAGAGTATGGACTCAAGGTGCATCCATTTTCCTAGAAAGGTTTCAAGCGTATCCTTCTCATCTTGTTGTGAATAAATAAATATATGTAAAATTCTTAGAACAGGGCTAATCTATAATAGATGCCTAATAATGTTAACTATTAATATCATTATATGCTGTGTTTATAACACTATATAATAAGTTACACATTGTCAACTCTGAATACTATAATAATTATTACTAATTTCAGGGATTTGAAGTTAGCTTTTTTTTTTAAGTTACCTATTCTTATCTATAAAGATAAGAATAGCTGCCTTGTCTGTCCCCAAGGTCTATCACTAGGACCAAATAAGAAAAGTCTGAGAGCATTTTTGTTTTTTAAAAACCTTTAATTATGGAATCTTAAAACAACACAAAAGTAGAGAAAATAATATAGTTAACTCCCATGCACTCAACAGCACATCATCTCATGGCCGCCAGTCTTATTTATATGCTTGCCTTCTCTTGTTTTATTTTGAAGCCAATGTAGGCATAAATTTGTTCACAGATATGAAATAATTTTTTTAAAACTGAAGTGCTGAAGAGGGGTTGAAGGGAAGGAATAAGAATAGGAAAAAAAGGAATATAGGGGCTGGGGGTTTAGCTCAGCAGCGTAAGTGCCTGCCTTGAAAGCAGGGAGTCGTGAGTTCGATCCACGGTACCGATAAAAAGGAAAAGGACAAAAAAAAAAAAAAAAAAGGAATATATCATGTACAGGGACAGATTGATTGCCTATGATGAATGTTATCATTATGTATATGTAGAATGTACCAATAATTTTAAATTAAGAAAAAACTAAAGTCCTAGATAAATGTAAGACTTTTCATATAGTAAAGATTTTAAATGTAATCATAGACATATATTGAGTTATATTATTTATAAAAATGTTTCAGAAAGAAAATATTAGTATCTGGCTGGCGAATGCATAGGGTTAATGGAACAAGACCTCCCTATGACAGGTGGGCATGATAGCACATGCCTATAGTCTCAGTTATTTGGGAAGCTGAGGCAGGAAGATCACCTGGGCCCACAAGTTTGAGACCAGTCTGGTTAACATAGTGAGAGTCTATGAGGGTGATCATTCCATAGCAGAAGAACAGGAAACTAACATAGCTGGAAGAAAGATAATATGCTGGAGAAAGAAGGATGTCAACCTCAAGAGCATTTTAAGCAAATAGTTTAAAGCTTTATCTAGTCTTGGGGTAGGATGTGTGTGTGTGTCTGTGTGTCTATGTGTATACAGAGTAAGAAGTGGTAAGATTTGAAATGGATAACGGCACACTCTGTGTCCTCTACTTTAATGAGGCAGGATTACAGATGTTTTGGGCTGATGCCAAACAGGCTAGAAGAATAAGGACAAATATGTGGAAGCACAATATAAAGTTTCATCAACTTCCATACCGGGAGATGGAGCATTTGAGACAGGTATGGGCCAGGGGCAGATATGCAGAAGTTCATGGCGAGGTAATTACAATTAACCAAAGTCTCAATTTTTTTCCTTTTGTGTTCACTTCTGATCATGCCTTTCCCCTTTGCTGTGAGATCAAAGTATTGAAGTGAATGAGAGCGTGTAATTATTTGTCAAACTAAGTTCATTCAGAATTGGAGGCCTCCATAGCATAACTCCATAGTTTCTGGTGTGCTCTCTGTATAAAGTTGTAAGCAGTAAAATCCAGTTTGTTTCTGCACATATGAAAACCTTTAAGGATACATATGGCAGCTAGCCAGTATTTGCTACTGACTTGATGAACAGTTTTGAAACTGAGAGTAAGAATCTAGGACCAATTCTGCAGTTCAGGGAGAATTCACGTCAGGGATTTGATGTGTCAGAGCTTATACTAGATATTATTTAGCATACCAAAGTGAACAAATTGAAGGTTCTCTTCTCAGGGACCTTTCCAGCTAGTAGTAGTCAGAAAAACAAACTTGATCTTTTTTCTGGGCCATAATAGCTGACTGCACAGAGGGATGGAGGTATGATCCGTTACATGAATTTAACTTACTTTAAAACTGCTCCTGTCTTTATTTCTGTTTAGTTCCGTCAAGATGTCACCAAGTGTCTTTTCTTAGGTATTATTTCCATTCCGCCCTTTGCCAACTACCTGGTCTTCTTGCTAATGTGAGTACAGTCATGCATCTCCTTAGCATCTTAAGTATATTTTTTAATTTAAAATATCTTAATAACTTTTTATTTTAGAAGCTAGACAGAGGTTATCAAACTTGCTGCTCCAGTCTTCTCATCATCCCAAGGTCCATAAAAGCCAGTCAGTAATACCCTGGTGCCTGGAACACACCAAGATGGCAGCAATAGGTGTTCTTGCCATCCTGGGTGATTCAAAATAAGAGCTTGCTCTTCTCCATCAGTCCGAGTCAGCATCTTGCTCCCTGAGAGGTGTTAATAACTGGGGACACATTTTTTTTCTTCAGGAACATAATGTATTTCATATTCTGATGTCATCACTTTATTACTTCATATCCAAAGATGACACTTCTAAACTGCTACCTTACGTGGTGTTCCAGTTATCTCTTGCTACATAACAAACAACCTCAAAACTTAATAGCTTAAAGTCGCCATTGTTTTCATGATTTTGTGGGTCATGAATTTGGGCATAGCTCAGAAAGCTGATAGATTTTTCTCACCCATGTGGTGTGGACAGAGGTTCCTCAGTGGTACTGCTGAGTGAACTGCTCCGGAGGGCCCAAGGTTGCTGCTGTGTCTGGCACCTTACCAGTCATGGCTGGAAGACAGACTGTCAACTAGAGTGCCTACATAAGGTCTCTTCGATTGTGGCCCCTTGATGGTAGGAGATCCTACATGGCAGTCAGGGCTCCAAGAGTGAGTATTCCACTGAATGACAATCTGGGTAACCTTTGATGGCCTAGTCTTGGAGTTCAGACTTTCTTCTGCCGAATTCTATTGACTGAAAATGAATCACCCAAATGAAAAACAGAACATAAGCCTCACATGTACAGAAGAAAAATGCCAGAAAATTTGTGGCCATTTTAAAGCTACCACATGGGATGTAATTAAAACTAAATCTGTCGCCTTTTATAATGTGTACGCGTAAGGACTGTGCTACAGGTAGGGCGTCCACATCAGATGGTGTCCAGCTGTCTGTAACTCAGTTCCGAAAATGTTCTTCGTGGGCTGCAATTCAAAAGTGCTATCGGATTGCTGCATGCCAGGCGCTCTTCCTCCTACTTCCATCCACATCCCGTTTCAGCAGTGTTGCTTGAAACTGTGCTTCATTCTGTGTATGTTTAAACCTCTGGCTAAATTTATTTAAGAAAAAAAGACATCAAGGTAGACAAACAGTGTCTCCATCCCTTTTTCCCAGTATTTATGCCTGCCAGATGCTTGCTCAGCTCACTGAAACATAGTTTCCATTGTGACTTTGTGATTCTTTTTCCTTTTAGGTACTTATTTCCTAGGCAACTACTGATCAAACATTTTTGGACCCCCAAACAACAAATTGACTTCTTAGATATCTATCATGCTCTGCGGAAGCAGTCCCACTCAGAAATCATTAGTTATTTAGAGAGTGTCATCCCTCTCATTTCTGATGCAGGGCTTCAGTGGCATCTGACAGAACTATGCACCAAGGTATTTCTCCAGTTAATCTTCCTAGAAACTAGGCTTCTCGTTAGATCAGCTGTGCATTAAATTAGGAAAGGGGGCCCATCATGACCTTCCTAACATGTACCAACCTCTTACCTCTCCCAAGATACAGAATGGTACCCACCCAGCGGTACAGGACATCCTGGCTCTCAGGGAGTGTTTCTGTGACCACCCTCTGGGCATAAACCAGCTCCAGGCTTTGCAACTGGTGAGCACTTTGAGGCTTTCCTTCTTCCATAGACTCACTCTATTTCAGATGTTTGAGGTAAGATTTGACTTTCTCCTCTTCTGCTGTTACAGAAAGCCTTGAGCCGGGCCATGCTTCTCACACCTTACCTGCCTCCTCCGTGGTTGAGACGTCGTTTGAAAACTCGTATCACTGTGATTCACCAACTGGACAGGGCTTTGGTAAAACTGGGGATTGGCCAGCTCACTGCTCAGGAAGTGAAATCGGTAAAGGCTTAATTGAAGTATCAAGTAGTAGCCCACATTGGCCTGGAAGCTTAGGAAAGCTCCTTGTTTTATTATATCAAAACCAAAGCTCTTTATTCTTTAGTTTTATTTCTCTTTTTGTTTCTCATGTACTAAACTAGTGGGAAGAATTGCCCATAGTAGTTTTGTTTTGTATTTCTTTTCTTATAGCACTTTAAAAACTAAGGACATGCTGGGTGTGGTGGCACATGCCTGGAATCCCAGCACTTGAGAGGCTGAGGTAGGAGGATTAGTGCAAGTTTGAAGTCAGTCTTAGCTCCATAGCAAGTTTAAGGCCAGCCTGTAAACCACTAACACAAAGTAAGACTTCATCTCAAAAAAAAAAAAAAAAAAAAGATAAAATAAATCAAGGATACTACACAATTATTTATTTATTGTTTTGAGATAGTTCTCACTAAATTGCCTAAAACTTGTGATCCTCTTGCCTCAGCCTGAGTACTTGAGGAACATTATACTCCAGACCTCCCATTTTCAACTGTGTAGGTGTTCCTTTAACACATACATGAGATAAGCCAATTAAAAGAATAAAGGTCTACTTCAGCTTACAGTTTTGGAGGTTTCAGTCCATAACCAGTTGGCCAGGCTGCTTTTAGTACCGATAAGGCAGCAGCACGCCATGGCAGGGAGTACGTAGCAGGACAGAGCCGTGCACTCATGACAGCCAGGAAGCAAGAGAGACTGAGAGAGGTGTCCCACAGTGCACACTCCAGGACCAAAAAGACTCTCAAGAGGCCTTGCCTCTTACAGTTTCTGCCTCCTCCCAGGAGCATGTGGAGCACTTTGAGGCTTCCTCAATTCCACAGACTTATTTCAGCCTAAGGCTTTAACACATGGACCTCTAGGGGACATTTAAGATCCAAATGATAGCAGCCTTTCTTTACTTGTTATCACATCCGTCACTAATTCAGGTTTCACATGGGGATGAAGTTGTAACTCATTTAAAGGAAATCTAGGATTTTTTGTAGATTTCCAATTTCTTGTCATACTCGCCATGTGATTTTTCAGGACCATTTCTCTTCTGAGTGTTACAGGCTTGTTACCTCCGTGGCCTCAATTCTACCCATATCGCTGAAGACAGGTGTCGAACTTGGCTGGGGGAATGGCTACAGATTTCCTGCAACATGAAAGGTAACACATTTCTATTGTTATGCCACTGAAAGTCATTTTTGTATTTATTCTGAGATTTTGTAGTTATTAAGTACTGTGAAGCCTTTATCTAACATGTATATCTAGTTGAAAGAACACAAATTCACATGCCTGCTCCATGCCTAGGCAAGGAATGGCATCAACTGTAAGACAAGAGACAGTGATGGGACCATGGGAACCTAAGGCGGGGGAGGCTGAGCTGATGCAGACTCTATCAGCTTTGACATCACTGACATTTTGTTGTGGGGAAGCTACTGTGCATTACAGGATGTTTAGCCATATTCCTGGACTCTACCCACTAGATGCCATAGGACCCCTTTGCCTCAATTATGACTATCAAAAGTATCTCCAGACATTGCCAAATGTTCCTGGAGTTGGGGAGTCAAGGGAGAGGCAGAAATTGTCCTAGCTGAGAAATACCAAAGACATCACAGTTACAACAAAACAGCAACACTGTACTGGCTCAACAAACAGTTCAAGACACCCATATTGAGGGTAGGTTCTAAGCCTTTTGCTCTCCTGTTTGGTTTCTAGGCCTTTGCATGTCAGAGTAAGTCAACTAATCTGGAAGCTGAGAAATGTCCCTTACAGTGCCAAATCTTATCAGAATCCTAAAGTGAAGATAGTGTTTAGTACCATTGCTGCCCCTGAATTTTCTACTTCCATCATATGAAAATCACGAATTAAGAGATGAGTTTATATAAACGGTGGAAGCACAGGAAAGCATGCATGCAGGGGATTATATGGAGTAGAGAACTTGGAGAACAAACATCAGCCTCTTAATGCCACATTAATTGGTATGTGGCTCACTGCCTCATTTCAATTCTTATACACACAGGCAGTTAGAAGGCAAACTGTTTGCCAGCCAACCCACTAACACTGATGGTGTTTTCAGAAACCGAGCTGTCCCTCTTGCTGCACAACGTGGTCCTACTTTCCACCAACTACCTTGGAACAAGGCGCTGAGTGAACCATGGAACGGACAGCACCGTCCTGCAGTCATTTAATATAGCGGCGTGGGACCAAACAGCACTTGTCTGCAGTCCATGTGCAGTTAGGTGTGCTGAGGAGCAGGTGCCATGTCTTCACAGCCACTACCCTTGTGGGAACTAGACATTCCACTCACAGCTCAAACTAAACTCTTCCCGAGGGTGGCCCGTATAAGGTGTCACCTGTCTCCCTTATAGTAAGCCGGAGTTGACAGCAATACCTGTGCTAGGTTTTACCATAAAGTGTTCCTTTTAGGTCTTATAAACTGTTTTACCCCAGGGGGAATCACCTCATACAGATGTATCAGCTCCCATGTTCGTTATAACAGGTGGGGTTTTTGTTGTTGAAGGGTTCCCAGCTGGCATGAACATTACTAGTGGGACTGGATCATTTACATCTATGCATGTTCTTGAGTGCTCCTTTGCCTCATTTGTGATATGACCAAAAATAGGAGTTTTTGTCCTCCTAACTGGCAAGGGTTAACTACTCGCTTTCCTTCTAAATTCCTTTGAACATTTTTTTAAAATGACTTAAAACTTATGGGAACATTCCAAAGGAATGATTAAAAAGTGCTGCTTGACTCCTTCCCCAAAATATACAGCCTTCACTTCCACACTGTCTTAATTTCTGGGCTGTTGGACAGGCCCTAGGGATCTTCAGTTCTTTGCTACCTCCACTGTGTTGCAGAATCCAGCTGTAACTGACAGTGGCTTCTTTGGGCCATGGGTCAAAACCCAAAGGTACTGATTACCACCCTGGAAGGCCAAGCACAATCTGTAGCAGGACAGTAAGTTGGACATAGCTTGTGTACACCTCTGTGACCTGTGGTTCTGTAATAACTTATTGTAAATGCATGAAGCACTGTTTTTAAATCCAAGTAAAGACTACCTGAAACCAGGTGACGAAGCTTACACACACTTTCATCATTTTGTGAAGGCTCCTTTTGTAAGACTGACATAACCTAATATTTAACTGGTTAGAATAGAAACTTCTAAGTGTTGAAAAAACTGATTTGATCTTCTGGTGAACATTTTAAAGTAGTAACTAGAAACAAAGAAATAGAGACTATGGACAAAGGCCTAAGAGGGCAGAGGCAAGCCTTGCTCCAGCTGAAGACGGATATATGGGTAGGTGAGGTAGGACAGCAGGCTCCTGGCGTTCCAAAGAGAATATTCCACACTTCATCACAACACATTCCCATTAGTGGCATTAATTCTTAATTAACCTAATTAGTTTTATATATAAAACTGCAGAAGCATCCTTTCTCTAACGAATAACTGGCCCACCAAGATAAAGAATAACACATCATTCTTTTTGAATATTTCTTTAATATTACATTTAAATATTCTCTTTAAATACGGCATTATCACAATGTAAAGAACCTAACGGGGAAAAAAATTGTTTTCAGAGAACCAGACAAGCTTTGGATTCACATTGAAAATACTACCTGTATACAGTATAGGAAAAGAGATAAGAAGCTTCATTTCTTTTATCTAGGCCTAGATTGAGTGGGACTGAAGCAATCCACATCTCCGATCACAGGCCTACCTTTCCCAGCAACCATGAGCTATCATTTTGTCCAATTCAGGTAGCACCAGAAATGAGACAGATTAGGTTGTAGAAAAGGCCCTTTGCTTGGTAAGAGCTAATGCTGAGTGCTAATATTTAGCATTCAGAAGTTTGGGGTTAGTGTGTCAGAATTGTAGAGTTAATGAAGGGATGGGTTTGGACAGAAACTGGAGTTTTGCAGAAATATCAAATATCTTGTGGGCTGACAGTGAGTTTAATAATTACAAACTTAAATTCATTTAATCCAGAAAGTTAATATCTTTCTTACTGAGCAATTGGAATCTCTCCACTAAATTAAGCTGGAGCTTCCTAAGGAGACGATTTATAAAGCTTCCTTTTCCTTCCAACAAATTTTTAAAAAGAGTCTTTTCTCCATGAGGCGGAATTCTGAGGGAAGCTTCAGTCCTGTGTTTGACAGTCCCAATCTCAAGGGGTCAGGGTGAGTGTGGCTCAGTTTGGAAGAACATCTAAAGCTCAGGTACTTACGAGCCTAAACTCTGTTTTGTGAGGCTGGGGATAGACATGGACCTATGCACCTAACAAAGAACTCCTTTCCAAACATAAAGCTAAATGAAAACAGGAATGAATAGATAAGACGGAATGGATTAAAATGTGTAGCTATACCAATTACAAGGCCCTTCAGGCTCAGGTTTTATAGGTGAAATGCTGCTGACACACATAAAATCTACTTTAAGACACCAGAGCCCTAACTATCCCATAAGAAAAGGGTTTATGAGCAAGAAAGGATGAACAGTTATCTCTCCTGCCACCAAAAGTTTTTATGCTTTTCATTCCTGGTTAATAAACCATTCTGGAAGTGAAACATGGTGTACAGGATGCTAGAGAATAGTGTTTTGCTCCCTAAGGTGTCCATTTTAAACTAAAGCGAAGATAAAATCTGACAATAAAAAGAAATCAGTGGAGTTCAGTGAAGTACATCTTAGAACATAAGCTGGATATAAGAGGAACAGGAATCACTGACAGAGGTAAGAACAGAATTTGAGACCCATCCTGTACATTTCCAAAGTTACAATCAGATCTTGAATCCTTTGGAACTTGGGAGTTGTGTGTGACATTTTAAGAATTGGCTTGGCTTCCTATCTATGTATCATCAAGATGAAGGAGGTTCAGTAAACATGTGCAATTTTTGGAGCTGTACTGGAATAGTATAAGAACTCTAACCCTGCATATATCCAACAAGGATCACAAGGTTAGATACAAAAAAAAGAATAAAAATTAGTAGTTGTCCTTAGATTGCCACATCTTACATTCTATTTAAAGCTCAGCTTGTTGTGGGGGAGTGTGAAAAAGCAAGTCATCTCTCCAGACAGTAGGCTGGTCCTGTGGCCTCCTCTGGACAGTTAATGCTTCACATGGGTCTCCTGTGAGATGGGTGAACTCTGCCTGAGGCTACCCAATAGTGCTAGTGATAGACACAGGGAGAAGCCTCGGCTCCTTACACCACATCCCCAGCCAGACTCACTCTTTTTCTTCAAAGGAAAAATGATGGATTAAAAGAACACAAGTTAAACTCTAGTACCTAACAGCATGTGAAAGAAACACCGTAATTCAAGTTACAGACCAGGAATCCCCAGTGTGGGGAGCTGGTCAGAAAAGACCAAACATGTCAAATATTAACTTATTTACCAAATAAGGGTCCAAAGAAGGCAGGTTTTTAGAAATCCTGGAGGTTTTGTATAGAAGCAAGAGAGCCTTCTACCCCTCCTCGCTCCTGCCTGGTGACCTTTGTGACTGCATGATGATGACACACCACGATGGGAGTATTGGAATAACCAGAGAGAAATGACCTTGCACCCTCCTTGGAGCCCTGGAAAGCCAGGACTTTGCCATGCTGTTCAGATTCTTGTGTTTTGGTCCCTACATAAAGAATAGCTGCTTGAATTACCCAGCTCCTCCTATGAAATCCTCCCTCTTTGTTCTGATGGCCCAGAAAGCTCAGTATTGGGCACTGTGTGGCCGACTCTAAGACTATCTCCAGGTCAGGCTGGAGATGACCTTCTCGGTACTGCTTCCCTTTTAAAAAATACTGGTACAAACGATCCTTTCCTACCCACTCCCCCAAAGATCCCAATAAAATAACATGGGAGCAGCAGCTGCTTCTACAGCCTTGAAGTGGCATTAGATAAAATAAGGGAATAAATAGTGGGTGAGAGGCAGCATCTACACCCCATGTCACACTGCCAGAGGGAGTTCTAGGGCAGATTCTTCGGGGGGCCGGTCCTCACTCAGCTGGGAGCTCTTTTCCACCCCACATCCCTCTTCGCTGTCCGTGCGGAAGGGAAGGCTTGAGGGGGACCAAGAAGGGTGGAAGTCTTCATTCTCGGGCTCCTCAGCATTACAATCTTCTGGCAACAGCCCTTCTAGAGCAGGTGTTTTCTCCACCTCTGATTTACAGAGGCTGGCTGGGTCTGTGGGACTGCAAGCCACCAGTGAAGTGACGGGGAGAGAGAAGACACTCAGATCCTTCTCCTTGGGGAAAGATGCTGCGCCTTCTTCCACACCTGGCTCTCCCTTCACTCCCAGAACTGACCTCTGCTCCACCTGGTAGTAGACCAGGGGCCCACTGTTCAAGTAAGGTGGGCCGCTCACTGTTGAGGCTGACGGGTGGTCCGAGTTCTCAGCAAAACACAGGACAGAGGAGCCTGGGGGCAGCTGTGCCTGGATGAGAATGGGGGCTGTGAGGCCTGGGCACAGCTCTTCAGGAACAGCCAGCGGCTCCTCCAGGATGCACACGCCCAGGCTCTCGATGCTCGAGTCCAGGCTGGCACTGGAACCACTGGAGTCCTCCTCGGCCTTGAGCCGCTCCAGTTCCTCTGCACTTTGCAGGTGCATCACCGCTGTCTCATTCTCAGCGAGGAACTCCTGAAAGTCCTGTGTCTCGGAGCCCTGCACTCCCGTCAGGCTGCAACCAGCTGCAGGTGAGGGTTCCTCCTCTGGGGCTGTTGGGCGGCTCACCTGCCGCTTGCTCTCCAGCTCCAGCTTCATGATGGTGTGGAGGTAATGAGTCCGGACTCGGATTGGATTAAACTCAATGCGCCCAGCCATGTTCCCGCAGCCATCCCTGGAGCAGCCACATGGAAAGGACATGCGATCCACCTAAGGGGACACAAAGAGGTTGAGGCAAGAGGAGACCATCGGATCCAACAGAGAAACATCAACTGGCAAACACAGGTAGTTGGCATGTGACGTGTTATAAGAACAAAAACAACCAATTCAAAACATAACATGCAGCACAAGCTAACCGAGCACTAGATGGTAGTTATCAGACCACTTGCATTTGGATTCCAGCTCAGCCACTGATGAATAACATGACCTCAAGAGAGTCATTTACTTTTCCCTATGGCTTTGCTTCCTCTTCTAAGTAAAAAGTAGACAAAAATCACATCGAAGGCTTCCTCTAGCCCAGAGACACCTCTCTGAATGCTGACAGTCCTCAGAGGAGAAGAAACCTGCATACCTTGGGAATTCCAGAACTTACCTGGTTCAGTGGGACAACAAAAGGCTGGAACCATGCCTATGGCCTTTTGCAGTGACTGGTGTGGGACTGTGAGGAAAAGAGCTGCTAGTCCAAAGATCTGCAATACACTCTGATGTAACTAAGCAAAGACACCTTAGTTTGCTAAGGTGGTAGAATGGAGGTTCAAACAATGAACAGAATTTCTCCCTATCGGCTTTATTTTTTTCCAGAGGGATTAGACTAGTGAGGGAGTTTCTGAAGCAGTTACAGGATAATTAGCTTGGAGATCTCTGGACCAGAGATACCAGGAAAGGAGATGCTTTCTACCTTATCTCACTTTCATATCCAAAATGAAAGGTAAAAAATACAAACACTACAATTAAACATTAAAAACATGAATAAGCAAGTAAGCACATATGCATACTCAATGTCTTTCTAAAACTGTTCACAGGTCTGTGAATAACAGGCTGATTTATATGGGACTTCAATATAAAAAGCACTAATTGGCCCAATCTGCTACAGTTATTTGCCTAAAAATAAAAAGGTTGATTAGGAAATGTTCAACTATAAGGACTTAGCATCCATATTCTCAGAATACAAGTTCCAAATAAATTTCATTCTCTAGGATGATACTGCTGTTTTCTAACAAAACGTGTCAACTGTCCCTTGTCAGAAAGCAGACAAAAGATGCTTAATTCAGGTATTAAGATCTATTAACCTGATCCTGACTTACAGAATCTCAAAGCCATTTTGATTTGTACAAAGTTGGAATAGAGGTAATACAAGTATTTGTAGATATAGAATCTATAGATCTACCTTCTTTCTTTTTAACCTCAAGACATTTATCAGTATTTAAGGAACAGTTACAAAAGTGTAAGTATTTTAGGCTCTGTTTTTCCCTTAGCTAACAGCTCCTTCATTTCATTTGAAAGAGAAAAAGATAATAGATACCTCCACAGCCTAAGAATCTTGTCGTGCTTGTTTTCTTTGTTGGTGGAGGAGAGCTATGGAACTGCAACATGTTTACGGATAGAGACTCCATCTCTGGACAGGCAGCCTCCCATCCTCACTGGTACCCATACCACATGCCCTGGTCCTGGGGCAGACACACTACCTTGGCCAACTTTGACTGACCTGGCATTTAATCCCAGCCTGGCTACAGGCACACGCCTCTGGGTCACAATACAGTCGACAATCACAACCACACTCTTCCCGAGAAAGACGGATGGCTCGAAGTTCTTGCTTTTCTTCAGCATCAATGCGGTGGACCCCAGAAGCCCTCAACAGGGCCCGTCGCCGTTTGGTGGGCAGAGGCTGCAGGAAGAAGTAATCATCTACCTCCACATTTTCCACATCAATATCTTCATCTGAAACGTCATCCAGTGTCAGGCCATCAGCCTCCACGGACTCCACTGTCCCGTTCTTGGTCAGCTGCCAAGAGACAGAAAGGTCAGCCTTGGGAGCATTAGCAATGCAAGCCTGCCCCCAGTGAGTGCCATTGTACACTGGACCTCTGCGGTCAGGGGAACAGCTGCACTGCCTCACACAGAGGCCGCTCCCAATGCGGCTGCTGAGCTCTTCGACATGGAAACTAAGAAGCAGACAGAGCTTCTGTGTGTGTGCTGAGAGGATACTGGAGACTGAAACAAGGCCTCTGAACTGAGCTACATCCTTAGCCCCTCTCCCCAATTTTGGGACAGAGTCTCCTTACCTTGCTAAGTTGCCTCAGCGGAGCAAAGTTGCAAAGCTCCTACCCCAGCCTTCCCAAATCCTGCAAGTATAGTTGTGTACCATGCCCAGCGGAAAAACTGAGCTTTAAATTTTAAATTAAATAGTCTCATGTGACAAGTAGTTACCATGCTAGACAGTGTGGAATGAGAGAATAAAAGCAGAAAGACCAGAAATCTTATGGTGCCCAACCCTCCACTCTGATAACACAAGAGACATCACTTTTCTGGGTCCAAGTTTCTCAAAAACCTGTCTCTTATCTTCTCTCCTAGGAGATAACCTGTTCCCTCAAACATTGTCCCCATCCCAAATACTTCCCCTAACTGGGGTTCACCTGCTCCTAACATAGGGTGGAAACGGTATAGTACTGGCTAGATGTTCCTGAGATATAGAGATAAGCTTATAAAACTCCCTTCAACTTGTATCTCATAGATTCCAAAATAATCTCTTAAGGAAGGATACACTGAAGTGTGGCACTAGGCTACCAGGTTTTTGTCAGTGAGCCTGAGTCCCCACAGAGGACAATTATCAGTACATGCTCAGAAGAGCTGCATTTTAGTGGTAGGAGCAAATTATTATTAGCTGCCAGAGAAATTCCTTACTTGTAGCCCAGGATCTAAAAGAAATGGACTCTTTCTCCTTTCTAAGCCTTTTTTGACTTTAAAGAAAAGCTCCATGTGTAAGATAGGATGGTATAAATAATACTGAGTATGCTACCAACAAGCAATAATCTAGGTTTTCTGTGCTGACACAAATAGAGCCAGGAAAGGGAATGTGTATGGAAAGACAGACTGAAGACAATCTATAGCTAAATGAGCTCTGCAAACTCACTAGAGAATCCAAGCAAAGAAAACGGGGCCTAATAATCCCTAGGGCACTGGATGCTGCCAGCAGGATGAGAAGCAAGCAAGCAAAGTGTTTGGTTTATTTCATCAGACACCCAGAGAGCTGTGCTGGGAAAGGACAACTCCTGGGAGAGATGTGATGCAACAGGCCTGAGTAGGAAGCCACACACCTGGCTGGTTGGGGTAGAGGTGAGCAATGAGGAGAGAAGTAACGTGAGGCGTCTGCAGCCTATCACTTCTGTCCCAGAAAGGCAACTACTGGAGGCTTCCTGTAGACCTTACACTTGCTCCCGTCTATGCCACCAGGGCTGGCCTCCTCCTAAACACCCTCCCTCGTAGTAACCTCTCAAAAGGAAATAGAGATGCAAAACCTCATGTTTAAGATGAAAGAATTTAACATCATCAGAGAAGTAGCATTTCAAATCACTGAGAGCCTTTTAGTCATTAAATGATACTGGGTGCCGAGGTAGGAGGATCACTGCAAGCTCTATATAGTAAGAACCTGTCTCAGGATAGAAAAAAAAGTGGTAATGGGAGAACTGAATACTCTTTGGGAAAGAAAAGTTAGATTCATAGCCAGGCATGGTGGCACATGCCTGTTATCCCAGCACGTGGGAGGTTGAGGCAGGAAGATCATTACAAGTTTGAGACCAGCCTGGGCTACAAAGTGAGTTCAAGGCCAACTTGGAACTACATAACAAGACCCTGTCTCCAAAAACAAAAAGAACAGTAGATTCCTAATTCATACCATTCATAATAATGGATTCCATATTTGTCTTAATGCAAACATTAGAATAATAAAAATAATTTTTAAAATATAGGTAATTAAAGCAGCAGAGCTCCAAAGAATAATTGAAACAACCCAAAAAGAAAACAAACATTAGATGACATACAAAATATATATATTTTTGAGATCAACTGCCTTCCTCATAGAGTGCAAAAAAAATAGGAAAATTTTCTAAGAAAGGTAAAGTAAGGCATTTTTCTTGACATGCAAAGATGTTTAGGTGCCACCACTGTTGGTGCTCACTAAATATTCTGCTAATAAGTAGAAATCATATCTTAGTGTTTGATTTGTCTGGCTTTGTTCCTAGAATTTCTATGAGAAGAAGACAGAATAGACAGGTCATTCCTCTACCAGATTTAGGACACAAGAGTTCTCTTCTAGGAAAAAGGAAGAAGACCTTTATTAGAACTGATGAGGAGTGTTTATTTGCTCAACTGTTACTATAATAGCAGGAAGGTGACAGGTCAATGATGGAATTCCTCAGACAGAAGTCAAGGAAGCCTGGACATCATTCTAGTTAGAAAAACAGGTGGAGGCCTAGGAACAGGCTTAGGGAGACAGACAGAGCTCTCAAAGAGACAAAAGAGAAAGATCTAGTTTTCCTACTCCCTCTGCCACAGTTCTGCATCTTGGTGAGTGTCACCTGCAACCCTGGAAATAACATTGCCATCTCTTTTAACATACGTCAGCTTACTTGGGCCTACCAAAAACCTGGGAGAAGTGTTTTTGTGCAGTGTGAGAGATCAAAGCCAGGGCCTCATGTATGCTAGTAAGTGCTGTACCACTGAGCTACTTCCCAGCCCTAGGCTAATTTCTGAGGATTTGTGGAAACTGTGGCCTTAAAGTGTCCAAACAGTCCTAACACTATCTTAGGATAGTGGGTATCAAGAAACATTTGAGGTTGGGGTGTAGATCAGTGGTAAAGCACCTGCCCAGCATGCGTGGGGCCCTGGGTTCTACCTTAGCATCAGAGGAAAAAATAAATAACTAAAAGATCTGAGCTGGATGTTCCCTCAGCCCCTTTCTCCTAAACTAAAGAATTGCTAATGTATCAGATGGTAGGCACAGTATCACACAAAGCTAAATGACTATGTGATAATGCTGCTGTTGTTTGGAAGGAGAAGACATCACCTGGGGATTATGGAGGTTACAGAAACAGAAGGATCCTTTCAGAGAACCTGAAAGTTCTTAAACCTGTTGTATGCATTCAGGTAAAGGAGGATTTGGTTTGGTTTGGTTTGGTTTGGTAGTACCCAGGGTACTACCCTGTTTGAACCCAGGACCCTGCACACGCTAGACAAGCACTCTACTACTGAATTATATCTCCAGCCCTTTTTAAAATTTCATTTTGAGTCAGGGTCTCACTAAATTGCCCAGGTAGGTCTTAAACTGAAAACCTCTTGCCTCAGCCTCCCGAGTAGCTGGAATTACAGGAAGGTCCCACCACATCAAGCTGGGACAATAATTTGATAAGAAATTGAAAATTGTGCTTCCTTGAGTTCCAACTGACAGACATAAAACACTTTGGGTATTCATCATTTAAACTTTTAAAGAAACTTGTTGGGGGATAAGGGGGTAAGTAGGAAGAATTCTAGAGAAGGTATTTTTCTATCTCTGGTAAATATCCCCTCCTAAGGCAAACAGAAGGGAGGCTCAGACTGAGATTTGATTCTAACTCTGAGACTTTTTTTTGGTACTGGGGATCAAACTCATGACAGTGTCCTTGCAAGGTAGGCACATATGCCACTGAGCTAAATCCCCAGCCTGCTCTGAGACTCTTATGAGAAAGATGTGAAATCCCTACATGCCAATGACAACAGTCAAATCAAAAATCAATGAACCTAGCAAATATAGTGGCACATGCCTATAATCCCAGGATTCAGGAAGCTGAAGCAGGAGGACTGCAAGTTTGAGGTCAGCCTGGACTACACGTTCAAAGTGGGCTGGACTACACAGTGAGCCCCTATCTAAAAGAGCCTAGAAGATTTCCTACTTTGTCTTAGCATTCAGGAAGAATCAGAGACCCCACATCCCTTAGGCACCTTCATTTTCTTTGCATGAAGTTTCTCCTCCTTCAGGTGCTCACGAAGAATCTCTCGATGGTTCACTTCCTGCTCTTGGGCAAACTCGCAGAGTGTGTAGCTGCGCACAGAGTTATGCCGCTGGGCCATGCCCAGAGAGCTACCTCCCTGACTGGGAACGCTGGTGAAACCCTGGCGCCGGGCGAAGTAGTACACAGTCACCTGGTCAAAGCGCACATTCTTTCTCCGAAGCTGCTTCTGCCGTTTCAGAATGGATGTGGCTAAGAAAGGAGCAGAGACAGAGGTTATGAACCCAGAGATACGCTTTTTGGGACCTTTATTCTTTTTATCTCTCCTGGCTCTGAACTTTTCACCTCCAAATGTACTCTTTAAAGTTAGAGAACTTTCTAATATTTTCAAATCATAAATGCACAGTTGGAAGGAATCTGTCCTCTTCTTCGTGTTTGAGAGACAGGAGGCCTCACTATGCAGCCCAGGCCATCCTCGGATTCACAGTCCACCTGTTGTAGCTTCACAAGTGCTATGGTGATAGGCATGTGCCACTAAACTGGGCTGGAAGGCCTTGAACCTCAGTTGGTTCACAGCACTGCCCCCAGATTGACTTCACCTAAACAGATGACCACAAAATCTATTTTTAGACAGCAGATGGGAAGAGGATTGCTAGGTGATCTTTCAGGATATAATAATCTGCAGTTTCACTGGCCACACGTGGCAATTGAAGTTAATTAAAATTAAATACATTTTAAAAATCAGGTCCTCAGTTGCACTGACCATATTCCAAAGCTCAAGAGCCACATACAGCTAATGGCCACCACTGAACAATTTGGATACAATGCAGATATAACAGATTTTATCCTATACAAAATTCTATCGGATAGTACTGATTTACAGCAGGATGGCAAACTTCTTCCCAAAAGATACAGGTAGTAAATATTCTGGGTTGCATATGTCATGAGGTCTCTGGTAAACTAGTCTACTAGCCAAAGTATGAAAGTAATCAGACAGAATGAATTAAATGTGTTCCAATAAAACCATATTTATAAAATCAGGCAGTGGTCCAGATGTGGCCCATGGGCAACCCCTGATCCACCGTATAAAAAGTTCTTTCCAAGAACTAAGTAAGACATGAGAATTAAAAAATCCAACCAGGTGTAATGGTGTACACCTATAATCCCAGCACTCAGAAGGCTGAGGCAGGAGTTTGATACTAACTTAGGTTACATAGTGAGTTTAAGATGAGCCTGAACTACGTAGCAAGACCTTGTCTCTAAAAAACAAAACAAAACAAAAAGAATTTAAAAATCCAAGGTGGGCATGGTGGCACATGCCTGTAACCCCAGCACTGGGGAGGCTGGGAAGCAGAAAGATCCCAAGTTCAAGACCAGCCTAGAGTACAAGTGAGATCCTATCTAAAATAAAATTAAAAATGAACTAAGGTACCTGCCAAGCATGGAGGCACATATTTATTATCCCAGCACTCAGAGGCTGCAGGAGGATGCCCCAAGTTCAAGGCCAGGCTGGGCTACATAAAAGAACCTGTCCCCAAAAAACAAAATAAGGGAAGAAAAAAGAAGAAGAAGAAGAAGAATTAAGAAACCTGGAGATTCCCTGGTTGTCTAGGCAGTAAGCATTTATGTAAGCCACAATTTTCAGAAAACCCATGGAAATCTGCCAGGGCACGGTAGAGTCCTGAATTCCTCCTTTTTCAATCTAATGCATCCCATTCTGGGGATCAACAAACCCCAAGATGAGTAGCATCAGCTCAAATTAACTTGAGTCTAGGTTATGGGAGCACCAGGTCCTCTGAAGAGCACAGGAACATAAGGATGAATCCCCATGCTGGCAGGAGCTGACCAAGAGCATTGAAGGGCTCTGCACTTGAGGAGCGTGGGTGCCAATAGGAAGGAGTGGCTCACTCACGTGTGAAGCTGGCAGTTGTAGGAGGATTGAGGCTGTCACAGCTGTCAGCACTGTCACTGCTAGAGATCTCATCATCTGAGTTGGAAACTGATGAGCCCACATCCACATCATCAAACTTCCTCTTGAGACCCGAGCTCGTGAATGCATCCATTGGTTTCCAAGGGTTTCCTCAGGAAGCCGACCTCCTTGGCCTCAAAGCCCCTGCTCACCACCAGCTAGCCAGGTGCATTAGGATTCTGCCAGCGGAAAACAAGAATCAGCATTCACATCCTAAGGCAGGACCCCTGCCCTGGGGTATACTCTTAGCTTTCTATTTCGTAAGCAGCTGAGTTAGCACTGATTTCTGATTTCTCAAGACCAGGTCATTTCTCTCTACCCAATATTCTTGTCAATGTTCTCCTACTTTTACTTCCCTTTCAAACTCCTCCAGTCTCAATCACTGCAAAAAACGAGATGCGTAGATCCTTCCCATTAGAAGGAAGACCTCTGGTTCCAATCCAGTTTGGCTTATGCTTCATTAGCCCAGGGTAAGAGCTGTTCTTTTCTGAGAGTTCCAGGGATCAGTGGGAGATGGACTGGGGACCAAAGACAGAATTCGGTTTCCCTATACTGACAAGACCCAATTATTCTTCCCTGTGATAACATAGCATGGCATTCACCAAAGTATGTGTGTCTTACTAAATATACTAACTCCATCGATATTAATAGTCTTTACATGGAAACACAACTGTTATGTCAAAATAGTTTAGAAAATTGCTCATGGCTGGACACTGTGGTACACAAGCATAATTCTGCCGACTCAGTAATCTGAGGCAGAGGAGTCACAAATTCAAGGTCAATTTGGGCAATTCAGTGAGATCTGATCTCAAACAAATTTTAAGACAGATGAGGTGGCACAGGCCTCTAATCTCAGCACACACTGGGAGGCTGGGGCAGAAATACTAGTTTAAGTCCAGCCTGGGCAACTTAGCAAGACCCAATGTCAAAATGAAAAATGAAAAAAGGGCTGAGGACATAGCTTAGTGAGCAGGCCCCAGGTCCAATCACCAGTACTATCTTCCTCAAAAAAAGAAGAAAAGGAAAACTGCTCATGGTGGAAACAGTTTAGAAGTCTTTTTATATACTAATTCACATGGCAAAAGCTGGGTGAAAACATACACTAATTCACATGGCAAAAGCTGGGTGAAAACATAACAATGCAATGTTTCCCAAACCTGCATGGTTCCTAAGTATGCTAGGGGGCAGATAATCTTCAGAGCACACTTTGGGAAACACTGCTCTGGGCTCTCAATTTTGAATGACATACGCAGTCAGGAAAACCCTTGACCTAGATCTTCGCCAGTATAAAATGTCTCTCCAGCCTCCTAAAAAGGGCAAATTCTCTACTAAAGGACCCAAAATTAGAATTTGTGCTGCCTTCAAACACAGACTCTGGGGGTAGAAGTATAGCTCAGTGGGAAAGCATTTACCAAGAATGCTTGAGGTCCTGGGTTCTATCCCCAGCACCTCCAACCAAAAAAGCAGAATCTTTCCTAATTCCATACTGGTCTATTGTCATCCTCTGTGCAAGGAAAATGTAGCTTTACACTCGTTGCCCTCTGGAAAGAAACCACAAGGAAAATAAATAGCAAAAGAGGAGGCAATTTATTCTGGTTATATCGCTAAGACGGCTAGTGTTTTCAACACGTTTTTCACACAACCAATGAGTTTGAGAGTTCATTTCTCAGGTACAAATCTTTCTCCTTCTCTGACTTTGCAATTAAATTCCAGAAGGACATGGATCTGCGCAGAAGAAATGCTGTCAGAGCTGAAGCCACGTGTGATGAGGTATGAAGACTCCCTGGCTTCGCCTCAGCATTGCCAGAATCTCCCCAGACTATGATCTCACTAGTTGCTAATTATGCAGCAGGAATAACAGCACTGCCCAGACTGACAGGGCTGCATTACTGCAGAGGAGCTACCCAGAATATATACACTGTGGTGGCAAGAGATGCCTGCTACAAAGCTACTTTCCAGAGCTACTTGGAAGCAATTTGGATCAGTTGTACAAAGTCAACCAAACATAGTAAGTACTTTAGAGGAGTGATTTCCTAATCTATCCAGATCACATCAAATTTTTTGCATTCAAGTCACAAGATGTACCTAAGAAACCTCACTATCATGGGTCTCAGATAAGCATGTTCCTCAGATAAATCTGGCCTGGTGGAGGGATCAAGTATTTGATAAGATTATGATTAAATTTTAAAACATGCTCAAACTATCAGTTCTGTTTTTTAGGTCAGAATCTGAGGTCATATTCTGGACTTTTTCATGGATTTTTAGCTAGGTTTAAAGATACCTATAAACTGAAACATTTCTTATTCCATTCTGTAAGTGGGTGTGGACAAACACACTTGTAATTAAATACTTACGTGGGTACAATGAAAAAACAGAGTAAGATTGACTATTGAATTTAATTTTTCCTTTCCACTTAATCAATACCTTATCAACATAAGAAATCTGTCTGAGCTAAAAATCTGCTTTTTCAGAAAGGGCTTATTCCCCTTCAGTTTTAACTAAACTTCAGATAACGGTAGCATTAGATAAATGGCCCTTTCCTTGGCCAGGAAGCACTTGGGGATTTATGACTAGAAGCAAATGTACACTCCTGTTCTCTCAGGTGTCCCTTTGCTTCCGATAGTGTGGCTTCCTTTTCACTATTTCTTATTAGGATCCACATGGTCTTGGTCCAAAATCACCTTTATTACTGAAATTCTCCACTGTCTTAACTAGTTGCCCTCAAGAGTACAACTTCTCTTCAGGTTATTTTCTGTGTACTAGTATGTAGCAGGGATCTCTAGTGTTTATTCCAATTTCTTGCTCCTTTATTTGGTATGCTTTCCCCCCACTTCTACAGATTTCTCGACAATGATGAAAATAGGTAAGAAAGAAATAAAAAGACAAAGAAAAAGATACAAAGTCCAGGACAAAAATACTTTCCTTAAACTGTGTGAGACTAATTAGAATCCATCTGTGTGTAAATTACATGCACCATGACCTATGACCTATCTCATTAAAGGGCTTGGCATAGAGGCCCTGCGTTTCATCTGCTGCACCACAAAAACAAAAACAAACAAAAAAATCTACTCCATTAACTAGGGAGAAAATTGTCAAGGAGACTCTACTGTTCCAGCTTCATTTTCCTTACCTAGGATCTGTTGGCATCACTTTCTGACATCACTGCCATTATTTAAATTTTAAAAATCCCATCTATTGTGTACTAATAATAATTACAGGGTTACATCTCAACCCATTTTTCCTTTTTTCAACTCTCTGGTATGAACATCTTTGTATTAGACAAAAGTGTTCATTTTGGTCACCAAGAACAAACCCTTTCATCCACTTCCACAAGGCCCTGGAAAAAATCTTTCTTTGCAACAGTAACAACTAGAATAGGTTCCATACTTTCTAATCCACCAAATTAATCTTTTAAACCAGAACTAGAAATCATTCATTCTTACCTCTCTCAAACACTTACTAGTAGAGGATGAATGCTTGTGTTCAAGATCAATGTTTATAAATTATAATCCAAGTACTTAAACCCACACAAAAATAATCAAAGGAAGGAATGAAAATGTAGGTCATAACTGTCAGTTAACTGTCAAAATGACCAATCCAAGCAACAAATGCTACTGGACAAATAAATGCATCCTTCTATAAAAGCTTTTCAAAGCCAGTGAAATGAAAGGTTATCTGACATTCTCTAGCTTCCTGCCTTATGGTCTTTCCTCAAGTGTTTCTGGCTAAACACTGCCCACAGCAATAAGAAATAGTTCACATTCACGAAATATAGAAGACACTAGGTTAGCCCAAAATAAAACCAGCATGTGTATTTTAGTACTTGATAGAACTTTTTGAGGCCTTTAGGGACTCCCATAACCATCAAAACAAACCAGAAAACCTAGAATACGTGAAGCCAGCAAAAGGGACTTCACAAGAAAAATTTGGTGGAAGCAGAATGTATTTTCAAAGCTTAAATAATATAAGCCTCGGGGCTGGGGATTTAGCTCAGCGGCATAAGCGCCTGCCTTGCAAGCAGGCAGTCATGAGTTCGATCCCTGGTACCGATAAAAAAGAAAAAAACAAAAAAAATGTAAAAAAAAAATAATATAAGCCTCATTCTTTTGTTTTGTTCTTGAACTAGGGTCTCACTATGCAGTTTAGGCTGCCCTTGAACTCACTATGGAGTTCAGGTTGGCTTTGAACTCAGAGCTATCCTCCTGCCTCAACCTCCCAAGGGTTGGGATTACAGCAATTCCTGGCTAAACCTCATTCTTATGAGTCCAAAGGATTAACACAAGGTACATCCTACAGGAGAAAACCTCTTTGCTTAAGTGGAACCCAATCTACCTATTTTTTTTTTTTTTTTTGGAACTGGAGATGAACTCAAGACCTCACGCTTGCTAAGCAGGTGCTGTGCCGCTGAGCTTCCCCAGGCCTCCCCATCTTCTACTACAGGTCAATGGACCTAGTAAAATCAGTATTACTAGCTGTATACTTGAATGAAAAGAAAAAAAACTTGCTAAGTGTTACGCTAAACCTGAGTAAGATAGTCTGCCCTGTTTCTCCTTTTACTGTGACTGATTCTCAAATACTACAAATTTCATGGTTCCATGTGACCTCGTGATCACCAGGATCACGAGCTTGTAAGTACTCAAGTGAAAACCTCCTGTTAAAAAAGCCCTCTTCTTAGCCCCACACTCGTTTTTACCCATTCACTAACACAAGGTTTGAATTTCGCTTTTCCATGTCTAAACTATCATCCTAGAGAGGGCACAAGATCTTTGGGAGAACCGGAACATGATGCTGCACTGCCTCTCAGGAATATCGAGTTATTTAAAACTCTGGCACAACCTATGTTTGGAGATGTACAGGGAGGAAAACCAGTGAGGAAGGAAAATGTGAATCAACCATGGATTTACCGTCAAGTGAAAACCGCTGGACAAGGGGACAGTGTTGTCTCTCAGGGACAACTTTTAACCTTTCATACTGAAGAACGGTTTGTGTGTCACACTGCACTCTAAAACCCTTTCAAAATGATGAATCAAGACCACAGCACTAAAAGGGATGGATAATCGCAGTGGGCTGTGTGTTTTGGGCCTGTGCAAAAACCCAAGACCAAAAAACCTAGGAAGCAGGGCAAATGATGTTTTCATCTTCACACACAACGCTAGCAAAATAGGAGACATTAAAAACCAAAGCTGAAGAGTCACGTCAAGGCACCAGATTCCTTTAATGATCACGCATGATGAACCCTTCAGCTCTCAATACATTCTGATTTCGACTAACCTGCAACCCCGAATGAGCCTTCCTCATCCCTTCCTGCCTACTACTCACAAATTCCCAGCCACTCCTCCCACATTTTCCTTTATTCCCCTCCTTCTCCTTCACTTCCCTCCATCCTACATCATTCTCCACTCCATTCCGAACCTCAATCCTCATCCGCAATCCTGCCGGCTTCCACGCCGCCCATCAGTCTCCCTCGAGCTGCCCCCACAGTCCGGGCCGCGTCCTCGCTGCCCCCTGCTCCCACGCCTCTTCCCGGCTCCGTTCCTTCCCAGCGGCGTCCTAGCTCCCCGCCCCCCGACCGCTCCCCTTCGAGCTTCCCTCTTTCTGACCCCTCCATCCGCTGGTCTCTGGGCTTGACCACTCCTCCACTGCCGCCTGAGGGCAGATCCCGAGAAAGGACGAAGCGGCACCCTCTGCCCCGCACCCCCAGGCCCTTTACCGGCCCCGCCGCAGCTGCCTCTTCCCGTGATGGTCTCTGCCGCCCCCGCTGCTGCCGCCGCCCTAGCCCGGTGGGAAACAGGGAGGAGCGAGCGAGTCCCGGGCCCCGCGGCGACGGTAGGGGAGCTCCCAGGGCGGCTGGGTGGGGAAGGAGGGTGAATGGGCAGGCCGGCCGGCAGGCGGAGTGGGGCGGGCGGCTCCGGCAGCGCGGGCTCCCCTGGCAGGAATAGCCCAGAACCGCCCCGGCTCCGGCTAACAATAGGCTCTGGCCGCAGCGCTCTGGCTCTTATAGGCGCCGGCACGTCCTGGCCGAGCCCCGGAGCAGGCTGGGAAATGGAGTCCGCGTACCGGCCCTGAGCCAGCGGCAGGCCGGGAGTTGGAGGCGGCGAGTGCCGCAAAGCTGGATCAAGCTAGCAAATGGGCTGCAGAATCGGCAAAAGTGGAGGAATCAGAAGTGCATCCTGCAAAAGCAAGTTTGGTGCCACCGCAGCCTTTTGAAGGGAAGGCGGGAGACCCTTGGCTACATATCTTAAAATAACTAGACGAACTCTCCTCTAAAGCTCTTTTCCTTTCTCCGTGATCATACTCCCATGACTAAGGAACGTGATTCTCGCTCATGGGGTTTTAGTCTGCAGCAATGTCAGTTCACTGCAGCCTGCCCCCAAGTTATAAAGAAAATACAAGCAACTATTTTCAGTTATGTACCATAGGCTAGAGTCAGTTAGATGACATATTAACAAAAAACACCCTCCCATGGTCTTTGACGATTTTCAGAACTTTACAACCCATCTTCTTCAAGATGGGGAAAACCAAAGATTCCAAGCCTTAAGTTGTGACTTGCCAAAGACAAACAGCCTAAGTTTCTTATCTCTGGTCTCTCCCTCAACTTAAAGTCTGTAAGATCTAGGTATATTCTGTGGCTCCTCCTCCTACTCAGTCTTTCATCCTTTGTCCTACTTTCCCTCTCCCATAGTCTACTTCAGAACACTGGCCTGGAACACTTCCACCGGCGAGCCACATACTTACTCCTTTGCCTAATCTGCTCAAATGCCCGTGTGCCAAATAATTTCCCTAGCCACGTTTCTGAAATAATGCTTCTTGGTCTCTCTTTGCCTCATATTTTGTTCTTAGTTTTATTTTTTGTCTTCTTTCACTTAACTAGATTCCATGACAAAGGAATTGTTTTGTTTACTGTATTCTCAGCACCCAGTACAAAACCCAGTGCAATATTTGACATTTGGGAGCACAGTAGATATGTATTGAATCGATGGATGGCTGACAGGATTTAAACTCAGGTTACAGGAGGAGATGCTTATAATACCAGCACTTGGAAAGCAGGATGTGTAGCTTGAGGCCAGCCTAGGCTATAGAAACCAAGAGTGTCTCAAAAATCAACAAACCTCAAGTTAGGATGGTTCCAATTCCTACTGCACTTTTTGCTGCATCCAAAAAACTATGAAGCCAAATCAACTGGCTACCAAACCACCCCCTCTTTAAAATTATGAGGTTGGATGGCTTAGAAAAAGATGCCAAGAATTCCAGTTCCTTCCCCTGGGTAACATCAGAGACTACAAGCATCTAGCAGGCAATGGTGAAATGAAAACAACAGCAGATCACAATAAGGCACTCCTTAGGGTACCAGGCACTGATCATCATAGCGGAAATTTTATCATATTATGAAATATCATAATAGCTGAAATTCAGAGGCCATGATGAGATTAAGAACATGGATCTAGAGCTAGACTAACTATAAACCTCTATTACTCCACTGTGGTATAACTCTGGGAAAAGTATTAGCTTCCTCATCTGAAAAATGTGCCTAACAGTATTTATCTCAAGGAGTTTTGTGAAAGTTAATTAGCTACTATGCTTTACTATGCATAATTTACAACTGTCTGTGCTTGTAAATGTTATTTTTAATCATAAATTTTGTACTCAGTTGTTCAGAAAGTTCTATTCTTCTAGAAAAGGCTCCAGAGTACTCTGTAGCTGGCTGAGTAACAAACAACAAACAACTTAAAGAGCATGGTGGGCAGGCTAAAAAATAAATATTTCACAGCCACACACATCCAGAGTTCTAACAGTAATAGAGATCTATCAAAGTAACAAAAGCCCCAGTGCCCAAAGACACCCAAACCTAAGACAGCTCATTCTTTCAGAAGTCAGCAGAATTCAGTTTGACAGTAAGCTCTACATCACTTAAAATGTCACCTGGACCTGCAGCAAATTTTACAACTACTTATCATAGACCATATTTTGTTTGTATGATATAACCACTGGGTAAGTTACTCTAGTGGTGCCAGTTCACCTATAATAACTGCAATTCTACTCCAGCCTAAAACTAAATAGGACCTAAGAAAGGTAAAGGTCAAATGGTAGCTGTTCAAAAACCTCCAGGGAAGGATACAAACAGAACTTTTAGGTTGCTGCAATAGAACTGCAAAGAAAAGTGACAGAAATGCTAGTATTACTATGTTTACACTGGCTAGGCTTGGTGTCTCAGGCCTATAATCCCAGCATTTGGGAGGCTAAACCAGGAGGATTTTAAGTTGAAGACCATTCTGGGCAATTTATTAAGACCCTGTCTCAAAATAAAGAGGGCTGGGGATATAACTCAAAAAGAAGCCCCAGGTCCAATCCCCAGTGCCACAAAAATACAGTAACACTAGACCATGCTCCAACATACAAATGGGCTAGTTTAGAAAGCACAAATTGCAAATAGGTGGGGTTTTTTGAGTAAAAGTCAAAGATTATGAAGAAAAGACGTAAGATTAAGAACGGGCACTACAAACAGCAGCCGCAGATGGAAACTGTAAGTCAGATTTTAAGTTCTAGGCAGTTTATATATCAGACTTGCAGTTACAGCTGCATGGAGAGGTGATTTTAAGTCATTGATATTCTTAGTTTATTGAGCAACTAAAAAGCAACAAAACTGGGTTTCATACTCTTTACATTTTTAATTTCCCCAACAACCCTACAATTATTGTATCTTTTTTCAGTGCTGAATTTTGTTTGGTTTTTTTGAGACAGGGTCTCGCTATGTATTTCTGGCTGGCTTTGAATTCACTATATAGTCTAGGCTGGCCTCGAACTCACAGTGATCCTTCTGCCTCAGCCTCCTCAGTGCTAGGATTATGGACACACCTCACTAGGCCTGGCTCTGTGTTGAAGATGGAACCAGGGCCTGGCAGATGCTAGAAAAGTAGGCCTCATTCCCCAGTCCTAAACAGGACAAGTTTAAAACTCAAGGAAGCAAATGGAAATCTGAAGCAAAATTATTAAGATGACTTGGGAAAGATATCAACTAAATCCTTAAATGAAAAACCAGACATCAGATTTCAGGAAGCAAACAGGAATCTGCAATGATTAAAATGAATAATGTGTACCTTACTTTAAGTCTATGAAAACTGATTCACATAATAAACCAGCTATAATTTATGTCCCAAAAGCTCTTACTATTGGTACAATAAATACGTAGTACATATCACCTTAAGTAACAAGCTCCCTTATAACTGACATTAATCCACTTAAAAAAAACTTAATTCATATATAGTTTTTCAATCTCTGAATTTGAGAATATAAATGCCAAACCTGCAATTCCCAAGACAATACTGTTGTTATTTTAGCTTAGTCTTTTTCATAAGGAAAACCAGAGAGAAAGTCTCTGTGGGGAAGAAGAAAGCTGTAGAAAAACAAAAGAAAAAGTGGAAACAAATATAAGTTCAAGGGTGAAAGTAAAAAACAAAGGCATTGGGGCTGGGGATTTAGCTCAGCGGCATAAGCACCTGCCTTGCAAGCAGGCAGTCTTGAGTTCGATCCCCAGTACCGATAAAAATGAAAAAAGACCAAAAAAAAAAACAAAGGCATTAAAAGAAGTAAGAAAACATAAACTATAGGGGACGAAACAGGTGCTGGTGGCATTATTCTATATGTCACGCAGGGCATGTTTCCCAGCATGTTCCATTTTGCAGCAGTCACTGTCACTTCAGCTTTGATGCTGATATGAAACAAAAATTTAATCATGGGCATGGTGGCATACATCTGTAATCCCAGCACTGAGAAGGCTGAGGCAGGAGATTGCTAGTTCAAGGCCAGCCTGATCTACATAGTGAGACTGTCTCAAAAAAAAAAAAAAAGAAGATTGAACACAGCAGCTTCATTCATCCCTTCATGGGGATTTGTGAATGGTCCCAATCTTTGTGGCTATCTTCTACACATGACTTTCTCAGAATATCTGGGACACCAAGGGTTTTGAAAGCACGCATCTCATATGTATTGGAAATGGCTGGCTCCAGGACCCTGAGCTGTCTCTTCCTGCCAAGTCCCCACTATCTCCAGCTCCCTGTTGAGATCACATTGTTCTGGTACAACAAACCCAGTGACCCAGGCAAGACTTCCAGGAGTCACAGAATCTGCCCTGATGTGAACTTTGCTTTCTCAGGTCTTGGGTTGTCTTCTATTTGATGTCATCATTTTCTAGTTAATACTTTAACATGATGTCCATTCCTCTTCCCTTTAAAGGGCTTCTTAAATAAATCATTTATGTGGGCAAACATTCTTATTGGGCCATAATTCTGGACAAACAATCTTATTGCTTAGTAGCCATAATTTATTTGGTCACTAACAATCCTTAGAGCTGTGCAACAAGCTCTCCCCATTTTTATTTCCCAGTAACTCCCTTTTAGCTATGATGTCTTTATATTTTTCTCCATGGAATCTATTACATTTCAAGGGGATAGTACAGACAATGGTAAATCAAATGTAAGGGTATTTCACATCTCAGAAGGGCCAAAGAGCTAATCAATCTGCATTTTATATATGCTCACTCTAACAGAAATATTAAACCATGTAGTTTTTGGGGGAAGTAGTTCTGAGACACAATTTTGCTTTGTAGCTCAGGCTGGCCTCAAACTCACTGTATAATCCAAGCTGGCCTTAAACTCGTGACAATCCTCCCACCTCAGCCTCCTGAGTGCTGGTGTTACAGATGTGTGCCATCATGCCCTGCAAACCATTTACTTTAAATACAAACTGTCATATTGTTAAAAAGATAAAATCCAGTAAACTTTACTTCTAAGAACATTTTAGAGATATGTACAAAAAACTCATTAAGACACATGTTCAAATATATTTAACCTGAAGCATATCCATAGGAATGATATATTTTAAAATGTGTAGAATTATAAATTCTAATATTGAAAGATGTTCAAGATACATTAAGTACAAAAATCAAATCACATATCATTAGTATAATATGACCACAAATGAGTATTTGTATGGGGGCAGGCTGAGAGGTTAGAAAAAAAGACCTTTCTCGATTGTTTGAATTTATAACTAACAATAAAAAGCTAGTTTAAAATTTTCATTTAATTGAAAAAAATCAATAGCATGTAATTTTGTAAAGCAAATCGTTATTATATTTTATCACTGTACTAATTCTTATATAGCACTGATACAATAACTGTACTTAATATTAATAACTATTATGTATATTCATTAATAATTAACAACTATTATTACTGTTGTTGTTATTAAGAACTAAAGAAAGCCTAAAAGCCTAAGATATTTTCTGGAAATTTAAAGATCTATAATTACAATGTTATATAAACTCAAGTGGGGCATGGTAGCACATACCTACAACCCCAATATTCAGGAGGCTGAGGCAGGAGGATCATAAGTATGAGGCCAGGCTGGACTACCTACTAAGTTCAAAGCCAGTCTAAACTAGAGCAAGATCCTGTTTCAAAAAACAGACAAAACTAAGCAAACAACCCCCTAAAAATGTTATATAAATTTATTTCCACAAATGTGAAGACTACTCTAACAAAACCCTGATTCAAGTAAAATTAAAAGGTATAATTTACAGTTAATATATGAATGGTATTGTATGCATCATGGGTAGTACCCAAGAATCACAAATTCACAGATTTGGAAGAGACCTTAAAAGTCACCTATTCCAGGGGCCAAGGATTTGGCTCAGTGGCTCAAAGATTTGCCTTGTAAGTGCAAGGTCATGAGTTCGATCCCCAGTACCATAAATAAATTAATTAATTAAATATTCTTAAAAATCACCTAGTCCAACCCTCCATCCTAACATTAAAAAAAAAAAAAAAAAGTGAAAAAAATTATAACCAAGAACAGCCTGCTAGGGACAGCAACAGACGTTCTGAGAGCCAGTGCTGGGAGTATGTTATAACTAGGAAGGTCTTCCCAAAATGGGAACACTGGGGAATTAAATGGGAACTTAAAAAACATTTTGTGCTAATATGTCAAATTTCTCAGGTCAGTTTTAAATTGAGGCATTGATTTAACTTTTTGCTTTAAAGGTTTTCAATTTGTTTCAAACCAAGAGAAACTAGACCATGTTGCAGTTGATTTTAATGAACAAAAATTTCTGTGTAAAAGTTAAACTTTATCAAATGCTTTAAACACACACTCACGCACAATCCAAATACAGAATCTTTTAACATAATCTTTGTTCACCTCAACATAATTTGTAAAGAGATTTCCAGATAAAACTACATGTGAGAAAGGTTCATGATGCCACACATTTACACGTGTACAAGACATCCACACACTATCATTCTCAAGGAGGACACAAAAACAAATTGTATGACTGTGAATGGGACAGGAATAAGTTTCTTGTAAAGCTTATATAAAAGAACACTACATGTGTAAAAGAACTTCCTACACCAAAAGAGGATGCAAACTCATTTATAAATAAATATTTTGAGAATGTCACTCAAGAACAATGACTTGGGAGTTACAGATCAGCCTGAGTGAGTTTCTGTCACCTCCAATTCTGGATTCTGGTAACTGATGACATTTAACATTTTTCTGCAGGTCTTGATTTGTTCATCATCATTTAGATGTGGTTTATCTCCTTCTGTGGTTAATCCCTCAGCTCCCCAGAAAAACCACAGTAAGAAATGATGGTGAACACAGGACAGAAAGGGTGGCACTGGCGACAGTGGATGGTGAATAATAATAGCCAGGGAGTCTTTGCTAGCTGCCTGTTATCTAGCAAGCCACTTAGCCCCTCTGTGTCCCTGTTTTCTTGTCTTCATTTAGGGAACCCTACTTCATATAGGGTTATTAAGATGAGGTAAGATGATCCATATGGAGACTTATTGCACTGCCTGGCTCCAACATTAGCCAAAATGACCACTAGCTGTAGTATTACAGATGAACCAGAAGAAAAACTATCTGTATTCCTACTCATTAATGAAGTTTTCAGGGACCAACTATGGCATAAAAAGCAGACATGACAATACGTTTGATGCAAAAGACAGTGAGGACCCAGTCTTATGAATATAGATGTTCACTTTTATATTAGAAAAAATTATATGGCTCCATATCACAAAATTTAACATCTTTCTATTAAACATCACCCAATTCCCATCATCACTATGGCCTACATAATCCTAAATAATGTGGAATTCCTATTGATATTTGACAACTGGGCCAGAATTTCAACTAAAGGGTAACTGCAGAATTCCACACTGGGCAGTAATCTGTGTGTACTAAGAGGAGTCTGGGGCAAAAACACACAGGGCTGGGATTCTGCGTCCAGGGCTAAATCCCCCACACAGCCAGATGAGCCAGGTTCCTGCAGACCTTCAAACCAATTCTCCATCATGTCCCCTTCAAGGGGACAGTTTTCAGGAGGTGAAGGAAACAGCAGCCATTGAGAGTGAGATGCCCCGCTCCTACTTCAGTATAATATGATAGCTGTCATTGGTTTCTGCTGTTAAAAAAAGAGAGAGAAAGAGAAATCATCTTTAGTTACCTTTAAAACAGCACAGAAAAAAATCTGTGGTAGGGTTCTTGTGAAGGGAACAAAGCCAGCGCAAGAAAAGAGCGACACATTCGTTGCTGTATTTAGCACAGAGTACTTGTACAGATGGTCCCCCACTCATGATGATGCCATTTATGATTTCTTATTTCTTGACTTTACAATGATCCAAATGTGGTATGTATTCAGTAGAAACTAAACTTTGAATTTTGATCTTTTGAATAATGTGATATGATACACTCTTATAATGCTAGGTGGTAGCAATTAGCCACAAGGTCACCAGGGTAAATAACTGACATTCTACAATGCATTGTGTTGCCAAGGTACAATGGTTGATAGGTTAGGTGTACTCAATGCACTTGCAACTCCCAGTATATTCCACTTAATGAGTTTATCAAGACATAACTCTATCATCAGCCAAGGAACATCTGTAATATGCATTAGAAAGCAACATACCCTGATTTCTTCATTGTCCACAGAAGATGGAGTAGATGAAAGTTATCAGGTGTACTTTGTCTCTGACAGTAGTAAGAAACCAACTCACACAAAGGAACAATCTCTAACAATGCTATTTTTTCTATTTAACACACAGTTTCTTCCCTATCCCACCTCAAAGAAGTAAAACATGAAAAAAGCTTTTTTTTTTTTTTTTTTTGTGGAGCGGAGTGGCTACAAGGGATGGAACCCAGGACTGGGTACGTGCTAATCACACACCCTATCACTGAGCTACACTCCAGACTGCAAAGAGCCATAAACCTCCTTGGGAAAAAAGCTATTTGTCTGAGTTATTACCTTTCATTGTGTCCAGAATAAAACAGGCTTCTTCCTGAAAGTTCTGTATCATCTGAAAACAAGCAAAAAAATTGCTGATTATTAAAAATGCTGGTTTGCTCCATTTATTTTTAACTATGTGGCTTTCCATGACATTAGATTTAGGTGAAATATAACCATTCTCTTATTTCTATGTTTCTAAGGACTATCCCACATCCAGAGGAGTTTATATGATGGGTTTTACAGGTCTCAAATAAGAGTATTTTATGAATTTCTATAGAATTGTATAAGTGTTTTCCTCCCACTTTTGAAAAGCATGGTGCATAAACCTATTTGGTGTTTGTTGGTTTTGAGTTTTTCTTTCCCATGTTTGATGTTTATCTAGAACTGTGGTCTTTAAAGTGAAGTATACATTTCCCTGCGATAATACTAAGGCTTTCCAAAGGGTACAAAGACAGCAACATCCCATATAGAAGAACTGAATTCTAGTTTTTCAACTTCCCTACACTGTATATTCCATATCAAAAATTCATTAGCTTTCCTTCCCATTTTCCCTTCCCAAGTCTCCATTTCCCAACTTACAAAATAAAAACATGAATTTCACCCTTCTAGAATCCTATTAAGGTACCCTGCTGAGGGTACAAAAACCTCAGAATGCTGAAGTGGAACTGCAGAGGTAAAGTATAATAACTAGGTAACAAATCCTCATTTGAGTCACCAGAATTGAAGAGTGACCTAATCATGGACTGTCAAGTGATAAGATGACTCAAAACATTTCTTGGTAACATCATTATGTAATTTTCAGTATGTAACTCAGAAGTTCAAAGATATGCAGGGTCTTGTAATAAGATTCCATCCATCTATTAATTTAGGTGAATCAGTTTCCACAGCACTGAGATCGGGAAGGAAAAACATGATGAAACTGATGCTGAACTCTGGTCTTTTTGGCAATTAGTGGAACTACTTACCGACAAAAGAATTAACTGTGTTTTAGGCTATGGGGTGAGCAATGGAATAATTCCATCAACATCATTAATGGCAGTGTGCCTAATAAACGTTTTGGGGCAGTACTGGGACCTGAATCCAGGGTCTCATGCATGCTAGGCTGTACCTAGCTCTACCACTGAGCTGTATCTCCATCCCTTTTAATTTTATTTTGAGACAGGTTAGTCTCAAACATGCTGTCCAGCCTCCACCTCTCCAATTGGTGGGAATAACAGACCAATATTTCTGCCTAATAAATTGTTTTCTTTTTCCCCTTTTGGCTACTGGAGATTGAACGGAGTCTTATATACACTAAGCACATGCTCTAGCACTGAGCTATATCCTAGTCCTTTCCTTAATATTTAGGAGCTACTTTGTTTTTTAAATCAGTTTTATAATTATGACATCTAGTCAAAAGAAGTGATTTTCAACTTTTGTTGAGACAAAATTTTTGGTTAAAATAAACTTGTTTCAAAGAAATAAGGTGAGATAATAGATGATGTTCAAGCATAAAAAGTTATGGTAAGATAAAAGTTGATGGGAAAAGTGAATGGAAGCAGAGTTGTAGGAAACAGAACTGATATAAAAATCCTAATTCATAAACAGGCAAAGTAACATTTTATAAATGGATAATGCTTTTATTAAATCACTCAGAATTTCAATGCCTAGTATTGATGGCAAAGGGTCACCCCCATATGTAGGTTATAGGCAATATAGTTAGAATAACAATGTAATGCTTTCATTTATAAATGTCACATATGTGCCCAAGAGTGACATCTTTTGTTGTTTTTGTTTTGTAGTTCAGGCTGGCCTTGAACTTGCAGTGATCCTCAGAGTGCTTGGATTATAGGTATGTGCCACCATGCTCTGCAAAAACATCACCTCGCCGCCATGGGAAGAATATTATTTTTAATTTTTACTTTTTTTAAGGGGGGGGGGGGGGGACCGGGGATCGAACTCAGGATCTTGCACTTGCCAAATCTCCAAATAGGAAGTCTTTTGCAACTATTTAAACTTAAAACAAAAAAATTTAAGTCAACCTAAGACTTTACAAAGGAATACACATGAGATTTTTAAAAATTAGTTTAGGAGAAAGCAAAAAGTCTGAACCAGGTATCTCAGCACAGGCCTATCGTCTCGGTTACTAGGGAGGTTAAGGCAAGAAGATCATTTAGCCCAGGAGTTCAGGGCCAGTATGGGCAACAAAGTGAGACTCTATGTCTTAAAAAACAAATGTAAACAAGAAAAGAAAGTTAGTTTGAAACTCTTTGGTCCAGAAAACACAGCCTATCCAAAAGAACTCCCCTTGCTCAATTATCATCTCCTAATTCAGTTGTACTGAAAAACCTACCTCATCACTGATGAGCACATGGATTCCTGTTGGCCCCTGCTTGTAAATCTGGCTGATCTGTCGAGGAGAAATGCTGAAAAGCTGAGCAATTTTTTCTGTCAACTCAACAGCTGTCAGTTCTTCCAGATAGATGGCATGGTACACTGCAAGAGCGAGAGAGGGACAGCAGTCAGCACAAAATTCTCTGCTTTTTATTTGTTTGATGGGGGTGGGCAGCACTGAAGACTGAACCCAGGCCCTTCACACTGAGCTGCATCCCCAGCCTCTTCTTTTTCTCTTTTATTTTGAAACAGGTCTTAAAGGTACCTCAACTGCCCAGACAGTTCTGATGCAATTCTCCTGCATCAGCTTCTATAGTGCTGGGATTACAGGCATGTGCCACTTCTACTTTTAGAGGTGATCTGATTACTAGGAATGCTCACTTTTCTGGAGGACTTAAAAATCTCACTGCCTGTCACCAGGTTTGATGGCACATGCCTGCAATCCTGGCACCTGACACTGACACAGGATTGCCACTAAAGTCAGCATGAAATACATAGTTAAACAAAGTCTCAAAAAACAAAAACAAACAGACAAACAAAAAGATCACACTGCCTGGGTACATATCCTGGCTCAGCTTTTTGTTAAATTTGTGTCCACAGCAAGTTATTTAATATCCCAAAGCCTCATTTTCCTCATCTAAATGGTGAAGAAAATGTACAATAAATGTACAGCAAAGAGGAGATTACTAGTGGTAAATGTTAAAGTGTGTAAAAAGCGTTGGGAAAAGCCCATGGTAAGTATGAGAGCTCAGTAAATGTAAGCAGTTAGTACCACTTTTAGCAACTGCTGAATCTTGTGTGATTAATTCCCATCATACATGGTCACAAGTCACTTCTTCACCGTTCTTCACACGTGTCCTGTCTGTCCAGAACAACCTACCGAAGAAAGTACCATTTGATTCTCCATCCTCATGCTTCTGTTGTGGCTGCTGTTGCTGCTGCTGCTGCTGCTCCCTCAACTGCAAGGACTCCTGACAGACGTAAATGGTTAACCTCGGGCGCACCATCCTGAGAGGGGAAGAGAAGAGCTCACTGTCTTCTATTCTGTACAGTAAGTACAATTTCAGAAAGAACTGATTTTTTCTGTGTTAACAATAAACAGCAGGGATTGAAATTGGCAGCTCAGGGGTCAAATGCAATACATTTGTCATGTTTTCTCCATGGTGGTATTTGTTTAAGTTACCTTAGTTCTAACAGGAGGCATCATATAAATTTCTGAACTTTTGCCTTCCTTGAAAATGCATATCTTAGCAATCCAGGGTCCTGATTCTTACATGAAAAAAAAACCTCATTCTCCTTATACTGTGCATGTATTTTTCACAACACCCTAGACTAGGCTGTCATTCCTTTTCATAAATAATGATTGCGCCTGTAGTTGCATGGGTTCATGACCTTGGTTATAAAAGTTAGAAACATGTATTCAAAATGTATGAATCATTGTTCTGTGGGCCTAGTTCATGATATACTTTTTTAAAAAAAAGGATATCTATATCTATCTATATCTATCTATCTATCTATCTATCTATCTATCTATATATATAGATAGATAGATTTTTTTTTTTTTTGCAGAGCTAGAGGAATGAACCTAGGCCCTCACACTATATAAACAAGACAACCAGTAACCTTTATCCCCCATTCTTTTTATTTTTAGACAAGAGTTTTGCTAAATTGCCCAAGCTGACCTTGAACTTGTGATACTCCTGCCTCAATAGTTGGGATTAAGGGTGTGCACCACCATGCCCAGATTAAACTGGAGAACTTTATTTCCTCCATTACTTTTAGGCAGACTAAACCCTTTTTGTGACCTTACTTCATAGTCAAATGCTGATCTGATCATCTTTTCCTTCCTATTCCTAAGCACTTTTAAGATAACATGCCTAAAATAAAAGCCATTCTTTTTTCCCAATCACCAACACTTTCCTTAAATTTTTTCAAGATTACAGGCAAACTCAGTAGTCTTTGTAAGGAGCACAAATACAAATTCTTCACAATTTGTTTTATTATTTAGGCACTGATTTGGTAACTGTATGTTTTTTCCATCAACATTACTATTTCCCTTTAAAATTGCAAATCTCAGCTTTTGTAAGTAAGGAGGGGAAGAAGGGTAAGAGAATGAGAAAAAAAAAAAAAAAAGGAAGGTATATCATGTGCAGGTACAAATTCCTTATGATAAATATAATCATAACAGGTACCTAAAAAAAAAATTGCAAATCATGGTGCTGAGGGTATAACTTGTTAGAGTGCTTGCCTAATATACATAAGTCTGATCATCCCCTGGGCCTGATCTCCTATAACCACAGTGGGGAAAAAAAGACTACAAAATACTCTTCCTTTCTGTACCACCTATGTAAGCAGACAATTAAATAATTCTCACCCAAGCTTACAAATGACCTCTTGAGGCCTCATATGACATCCCAGCTTATTATAAGCTTCAATATCTCACCACAAAAAGTTTTTTTCAGTTGATCTATGTATCTCCCTATGTCTGTCTGTATGTATATATTCATCTCTCTATCACTATCTATACCTAAATATCTGTATCAATTTATTGTAGTACTAAAGATTATACCCAGGTACACTCTACTGCTGAGTTGCATCTCCAGCCCCTTTTTAATTTTTCTTTCAAGATAGGGCCTCATTAAGTTGCCTATGCTGGCCTGAAACTTATGATCCTCCTACCCAAGTTTCTTTTTTTTTGTGCCCAAGCTTCTTAAGTAGCTGGAAACGCGCTACCACATTCAACTCAGAGAGTGCTTTCTTGACTATTTGCAGGTACTACACAGCCCAGAGTGTTGTTTTTGTTTGATTTTTGGATTGTTTTGCTTCAAAGATATTATCATTGGGCAAAATACTTCTAAATCTATCTCTCTTCCTATAAGAAAATAAACTCCTTAACAACTTACCTGTTTTGCTCACTGCTAAATCTCTAAGGCCTACAAAACTACCTGGCTCATGATAAGCACAATGAGCATTTACTGAATGAAAAAACTACCAAGAAGTGAAAAATGAGAAATTATGGGAATTCTTTAGAATAAATGTATGAAACTACATTTTTCATCTATTTATATCTGATACATAAATTTGCTACACAGAATACTGTGAAGAATCCCTGAACCTCAATCCATGTGATATCCAACCCCATTGATAATTTAATACTAATTACATACCGGCCTTTTAATGCATTAAAAAGTCTGATTCCATCTGCAGGACCACAGATTTGGATCACATCATCTCTAGTTAGTTTCAGTAAGTCTGCCCCTGGAATAAATGTAAGAAAACAGGCAATAAAGGCAAAAACCCTCTTTGCTAAAATAGCCTCTATTACAAGAACACCTCATGGCTAGTACACTACAATCCACAATCTTTTGCATGACATAAGGTCCTTGACGATCTGGCTCTTACCTCTTCTCCTATCTCAACTGTCATCCAATTAACTTCTCCACCTAACCATATGCTTTCAGCATTCTGATGGTGCCAAATGCTCAAGTTGTTCTCACTTGAAATATCTTTCCATTCTCTGCCCAATGACTCTTCTCTTCATCTCTTAACTTTTACCTCATCACACATGTTCCCTAACACTCAGCCTCACATAAGCATCTCACTTTATATACACTCCCGGAGGAACACTTATCTAATGGGTTTTTATTTTAGCTTGATTTTTTCAACATTATATGATGAATAAGCTATTTGAACAGGAAATATGCCATACCCATTTGTGTATTCCTACCATCACTGGAACATAGACAGTAACAACAAATAAAAGTGGATTGTATAAATAAAATACAATATAGAAATATCAAGGGAAAAATTTCAGACTACCACCAAATGCTCTTTGATAAAATACTGTACTGAATATACATCTTAAAAGATGTTATATAGCCTGGCATGGTGGCACATGCCTGTAATCCCAGCACTAGGCAGGGTGAGGCAGGAGGATCGCTAAGAGTTTGAGTTTTGAGGACAGCCAGGGCTGCAAAATGAGTTCACGATCAGCCTGAACTGCATAGTGAAACTCTCTCTCTCCAAAAAAAAAAAGGATGTTATATAAAATAAGTATTTTAGAATCAAAGTGAGTTAAAACAAGTATTTCTTCTAAAGTACTCAAAGCCCTGTTGCAGCTGGTCCAAGTCTGAAATTCATTTTATCAGAAAACCCACTAAGATATTTCTCTCTGTTTCTGTCTCTGTCTCCCTCCCTCTCTGTTACACATACCACCAAAACCACCATATGAATATTAAGAGTTCCTAGAATGCAAAAGAATATCCCATGCTAGGGTGAAAGGAAAAGCAGATTTAACCTGAGAAGTTGGTGAAAAGCCTTGTGAACGTAGAAAAACGGTTTCGATGCAACCATTGCTGAGCTTCCTGAGGTGTGGTTGTTGGCAAGAGGTTCTGAAAGGAAGCAAACATTTTTTTCTGGTAATTTAATAGATTATTCTGTTACCTTACCAAGTAAACACAGCTAAACACACACACACACACACACACACACACACTCACACTCACACACACTCTCTCTCTCCTCTCTCTCTCTCTCATTCTAGCTTAATTTATTTGGAAATTGTTTACACTGTACCATATCATTCTCTGTCTCTAACTATCAGAGAGACCCAAACTTTTATTCTTATTCTATCCCTTTCAGCTCCTCTAGGTTATAAGCTCCTCAAATTCACAGCTACTTGGGAGAAGCACTTAAGCCCATGAGTTCAAATCAAAGTGGACAATAGTCAGATCCCATCTCAGGAAAAAAATCAAACAAACAAACAAACAAAAAACTATCAGCTATCGACAAGTCTTGTATTACTTGCTTATCTCCGGTCCCTAGCACATTAGTGGTTCAAAGTAAAAATACAGTAAATGTTTGCTTTATGAATGAATTAACAACATTCATCAAAAGTTGGACATTTCTATAGAATCATGGTCATCAAAATATTACTAGACATTGCAAGTAACTCACATTTAGCTTCAGACTTACGTCAGTGACTGGAGGTGGGGGCTCTGGCTGGTGGTTAGGTGAACCATTTCTAAAGAAACATTGAAAATGAAAGGGTGAGTTCATGACACATATGAGTGTTCATTATCTCATTCTACATCTTCACAAGTCTTAAGCTGAGGTTTAAAAGATTCTGCATTTTCTCATAAAACATTTTGATTCTTTGACCCAATACTTCAGTTATGTGTTAATTTAACCTGAAGACTTTTGTGTAAGGAGAAGAAACTATGTCATTTGCAATATTTTTATTACTGAGGAAACAGAAAAATATCAAAAGGTAAGCAAATTGAAATTACGGAGATAGAGCATGGCACAGAGACTATTTACAAGGGGCTGAGCATGTAGCTCAGTGGTGCAGCACTTTCCTAGCATGTGCACCGTACTGCGTTCAACACTAGCACCCACAAACATACACAAAAAGTAAGGAATTTATGAAAGATATCTTTATAGAAGGATATCAAAATGTAAAAGTTTCATTGCTCTACTACTATATTAAACATATAAATATGTACACATATATACATACAGGAAAATTCTGGGACAAAATTTAAGCAGTGTTATCATATTTGATCACATACTTTTACCATGTTGGTTTTGGTAGGAATTGAACTCAGAGCCTTCACACTGAATTACCTTTCTACCCTTTACACTGAACTGTATGTTTTTCTCCACCTTTTTTTTTTAAACTAGTGGCTATTGATTACATACACCTAGTTACTAAATTACTCAAGCTGGGCTCAAACTTGCATCCTCCTGCCTCAGCTTCCCAACATTCCAGGTTACAGGCATGTACTGTCACACTCAGCTAAAAACAATTATTTTTAAAGTAGTTTCAAAAATTAGCACTAATTTGTGATGTAAATGCTACTCTGCATCCTTGTGTTTCTTCGTAGTTTCTTTTGTCTATGGTTTGTCCCTCTTCCCTAATATTTACTTCTCTTATAGAAGAAAAAAATTGAGCCTAATGATGAAGTATAGAACAAATAGAACAAAAGAGTTTTTAAACTGAGAATTTAGACTATGTAATATTCAAAATTGCCCCAAAATTTAGATGTGCTGAGTATTTTCTTTCAAGAGATCCCTTTTTAGCCAGGTGCACTAGCACGTCCTTGTAGTACCAACTACTAGGGAGGCTGATGCCAGAGGATCTCTTAAACCTAGGAGCTTAACACCAGCGTGGGCAACACAGTGAGCCTCTATCCCAAAAGCAAAACAAAAATTTTTTTCTTTTTAGTCTTAGCTGCAAAATTTAAATTTCATATTAAAACACAGTAATTAATTTACCGCAGAGCCCTTGTAACATGCATTCTTTCTACAACTATTCTTAAGTGTCACATTTTGAATAATTTGCATATTCTTAATTATTACATTACAGATGTTGCTCCTTTAATGAGTGAGTTCTGTTTCTACAATAGGTAGTTGAATGAATTGCTTGCTAAATGAGTTGTATACAGTATGTACATTACAACATTCAAAACAAAGAAGTGGTGAAAGGAGACTCTAACTGGATGACTTTGCTTTGATTTGCGTAACTCATATGCAGTTCTGTAATGTGTAACAAAATACAAAACTATAGTAGTATACAGCACAATCAGCAAAAATTACAGTACTACATAAACAAGAGTTACTGTACAAAACACAGCTGTAATTAAATCAGAAGTAGATCAAGGTATCGAAACACCCCCAAAAATATGAGACTGGGGAGAGGGCGGCGCAAGAGCAGTGATAAGGAGTGAAAATGACAAAGTACGTAAGATGCATATACAAATCTGCCAAGATCACAGCCATTAAATCTGTACCGTCCATGTGCACTAATAAAAAAAAGATGAGCAGCAGGTCAAACACAACGTCTAAATAAATCCAAAAACAAATACAACCAAACAATATGCCCCACATTTAGTAGCCTATTTCCAGATTTCAATATGGTTACATGGAATACATGTTAAATGTGAGGACTATATGGGAGCTTTGTTAAAACTAAGGTAGGCATTTACATCAATATTCAATTACCTCTCCTAGTACAAGATGCTAAGGTAAGATTAAATGCATCTCATAAATACTTCTAAACTTTTATGTTAGCTATCTGCTTCAATATTTTTTGCCCAATGATCGAAGATCCATTATAATTACATGTTAGGAGCATTCTTCAGAAGTAACAAAACAGATGTTAGCCTCCATACAACTGTGCTTCCCACTGCGGATGACCTCTGTCTGATGCAAGTATGATCAGGAAGTGAAATAACCACAAGATAAGCAGTAATAGGATAAATCAAAAAAAACCCCCGATAATTAGTTTCTCAATCACTAAAAACGGACCATATATGCTCTCATATCCAGTATTACTTCAAGGACAAGGAGAGTCAAAGGAGGAAAAACAGCTACATAAAACACTTTCAGTCTCCTCTGAAAATAATCCAAACCTCAGTTAATATAAAAACTCAAAAAATGACCAAATAGAAGTACTTACTGATTTAGAAAGATCTGGTTTATGGAAACATAATGGAAGAATATATATTTAGTACAAACACAAGCCAGTTTCATTTCACAGACTTACCCTTCCCCAAGAGAAAAACTGCTATGGGAACTGTTGAAACCAGGTGATGGGGAATTGACGTATGTGATCTCAGGCCATGGAGAACACTAAGAACAAAGGATGTTAGATAAAAGACACATTTCAGCCTAGTGCTCCACTAAAATACTGTTATACAAATAGTACATTCTAATTTGATTAGCAAATCTTACTCAGAAGTCTCCATAAGCAAAAGAAAATATGCTCAAAAGTAAATTTGGAACAGGCTAAAAGTAACAGATTTTTCTTTTAAAGTGAAATTAAAGATCTGGAGCATAATTCACTGGTAGAGCACTTGCCTAGTTTGCACAGGCCCTGGGTTGGATTCTCAGCACCACATGCACACATACACACAAAAGATGAAAATTATGGACTGAAACTATCATCAAAATTATAGACCAAAATTTTACCTCTGTGAGGATGGTTGTCTCATAGGAAGGTTGGTATTTCTCTTTTTCATGAGGTGTTCGTTTCTCCATTTTTTCTCTATCTGTTTTTTGCTTTCTATCTGCACCTTTGGGCTGGAAAGAAAAACACTTTAAACTGAAGTTGCTCATCCTTTGAGCCAACAATATTATCTTTAAACTTAAATGGTCATGCGGAAAATAAACACAAATGCACAATAATGTACATACAAAGTGCTTCACTCTACCTAAGAGTGAAAATAGGGAAGACAAATGACTGAAAAGGACAAATGTAAAGACCTGGAAAGAACACAGCTATATGAGAAAAATTCAAACTGAAAGTCTTAAAATAATTCACATACTATAATCCCATTTGTATTTCAAAGAAAGAGAAAATGTACGCATATGTGTAAAAAGTGTATCGTGGCCCTCTCTGGGGTGAGGCTGGGAAATCAGAGTAAGCATGGACATGGGGAATTTCAATGTTGTCTTCTGGATACTTTTATATTATTCTATGTCTTTAAGGAGCATATATTTATTGGGCGCTGGGGATATAGATTAGTGATAGTATTTTCCTAGCATACACAAGACCCTGGGTTTATCCCCAGCACCAAAAATAAAAATTAAAAAAAGATTTATCCATGTGTTAAAAATAAAGACCAAAATAAAGAATACTCAGTATGAATGTAAGCAAAATACTCAACACATCTAAATGTTTGAACTTCCAAAGAGCTTGTAACTTCAACACACTCCAGTAACAATCGATAGGTTTTGCTCCTTTTCCAGTTCCTATATCTATGCCCATCCCCCCACAAATTACTTTACCAATTATCTTAGCAATTACTTGAAGACTCTAGGTTAGACTAAGTTTGCACAGCTTTTAAAAAATAGACAAGCTGACTTTCTAACTTGTCAAATGACGTTAAAATAGAAAGAAGGAAGAAGAAACCAAGAAACCACACATTGCCCACAAATACCTTGAAGACTTTGATCTGGCAGCTGGCTGAGTGTAAGTGTTCCGTATATTCCCCGTTTTCATTCTCTTTGAAGGTATCAATTTGTACTCGGAATGGTACCCCCTTTTCTCCACCATGTTTCCTCATAGTAAACTCTGTGCTAATGCAGTGGACCTGAAAGAACACAACGTTGAGTACTACTGGCTAAGTCTCAATGTTTTTGGAGGGACTACTACAGCAAAACCTCAGAGGATAACGCATTTTTTTGCCATAAAGTGGCATAACCATGGGTGTGTCATACCTATGTTTATTCTTCAGAATCTTTCTATTGATGAATTATTAATTTTATGAGTTCTATTATATTAAACAATGAGTGCTTAACAGGAAAAAAATGATAAAAATAAAGTATTGCATTTTTAATTCTTATTGTTATAAAAGGCATTAAAATTTTCAACAGAAACTTGTTTTTGGTGTACTAAGTCTAAAAAACAGTAGCAAATTCTTATATGTTAACAGGAGCAAATTCCTATATGAACCAAAATTAAAATATCAATAGTACTCTACAGAAAAACAGTATTTGCTTGAATTATCACACCTAAAGCAGTCTTCACACATGACAACAGCATGTTCCACACATGTGTATCGCTTACACTGACAGCTGTATTTTGGTAGTGGCATTTTTGTGAGACATAATTGACATGTGGCTGATCTTGCTGTTTTGTCAGGAGAGGTTTAATATATTATGCAATGTATAGTTAATAAGAACAAAAAGTGTCAATAAAATAAAGTATTAAACCGGGTATGGTGGCATATGCCTATAATGCCAGCACTCAGGAAGTTGAGGCAGGAGGATCATTGTGAATTTGAGACCAGCTCAGTTTACTAAAGTGAACTCAAGGCCTGAACTCATAGTAAGACTCTGTGTCAAAAAGACAAAAAAAAAAAATTTAAATTCTTAACATGCATTATACATTTAAAATAAACATCAACTTTTTCACATCAACTGTGTATCTGCTTGTTTACAAACCCTAAAAGATAACATAAAAAATAAATTCCTGGAGATTTTTGGGAAAATAGCACAGTGGTGAGCAGAAGAAAAACAGCCTCTCTGAGATTTGGTGTCCAAACACAGGCATACAGCAATGTAAGGAAGAAAAGGAGGAGGGGAGTGAGACCCCCCGACTCAGTTCAAAAGCAAGAACTAAAGCCCATGGAGAAAGGGAAGAGAGAAACTTCAGTGAGGGAGGAGGAGACAGGTGGCACTTTTTCCTTGAGCCTTGAACTCACTGCATGGGATGGGTGGCTTGCAATTACAGGTGCACAGTAACTGCTGGTGATCAAAGAGATTAGCAACCCCAGAGGCCACCATAGAGAAGCACACAAGTGTAGTGGTGTGGAAGATGCAGCAGATTGCTGTGGCTGGTGAATTGTCCCAAACAGACATTCCATTAGAGAAGGCGATTGGCCAGGAGCAGTTTTGCAGAGGAGCCAACTAAGCTCAGGTCCCTAAGAGGCTACTGGCTCCACCTAGTGGTTTCCAACTGAGTCCAAGCCAGCAGGGGACAGGGAAAATGCTGCAGGCTGGGCGAGTCTGGATGTAGTCTAGTAAGGTAGAGGCCAGTCTGAATGCGCTCGATCATCCTCTGCCCCACCATGGTGCTGCTGCTGGCTTGCTGGGATTGAATGAAGTAGATCTGTACTGTGCCCACATTGTCTATCAGTGGTAGGAAAGACACGCCTTGAAGTGAACTTTTTTTTCTCTCTCTCTTGTTTTGCTTTTGGTCTAGTTTCATTGTTTGTTCTTATTTTTCTATGACTGTGAATGTGGTTTCTAGTTTTTTTGTTGTTGATGTTTTTTACTGTTCTTGTGTTTATTTCTTCATTTTCCCTTCTCCCCATCTTCTGCACCAGCTTCCCAAAGTTTGCAAGATCCTCATTTGTCCTCCAGCCTTGCTCCTAATAATCATTTTTCTTCTATTTCATTATTTTTCCCCTTTTAAATGTTCTCCTCTCGGTAACATTTCCATATTGAAGGATTATTTCCTACATATAATTTACTGGTTCATTTTAGATTTTGTTATATAACCACAAATCTAGTTCATACAGCTAAATTAATAGTTACCTCAAATGAATTACTAGCAAATTAATAGTTACCTCAATAAAAAAAATAAAAAAAATTAATGTTATTTCAGTTTGTCATTTTCTAGCCTGTATTTGATTCTATTTTTATTGCTGATTGTAAGACTTAGCCAAAATAATATAATTGTTCTAACCAGCTGTTCTTCCTCATGTACCAAGACTGAAATCGCCTCTGAAAAATACTACAGGCCACTGCTAAAGAAACAGGGGGTATGGGGCTGGGGATTTAGCTCAGCGGCATAAGCACCTGCCTTGCAAGGGTGCAGTCATGAGTTCGATCCCCGGCACAAAAAAAAAAAAAGAAAGAAAGAAAGAAAGAAAGAAACAGGTGGTTGGCCAAATAGGCAGCAACTTCTCATCCTCATTAAATTGAAGTGGCAGGATTGGGCAACAGATACAAAACCCAAAAGCCAGACGCACATGGACGACTCTCCAAGAAATAGTCATTTTCTAAAGGTTGTAAATACTAGTGATAAAGCTACTCACCATAATAAATTTACAAGCATCAACCCAGGATATAGAGTTAAAAAAAAATTACAAAATAAGACAAACAAGATGCAGCCCCAGACTTCCAGCTCATCAAAAGCAAACCCAGGGGGCAATGAAATGTAACAATGCAAAAGCCATCCACCTTGACTCTCTGAAGTGGCAACAACAAAGCAAATGAACAAGGTTCTAGAAAAAAAACAAATCAGAAATAATTTCTCATAACTACAGAGATGGTGACTATAATGAAAGACATGTTTAGTGACCCAAGAGCAGATACAAATAAAAAAAAAAAAAAACAGAGGAGCTTAGGAAAATGATAGACACTATGAACACCCAACAGGAAAGAAATGGAATCCATAAAACAGATTAAAACAGATATCTAGGAGATTAAAAATTACATTTAAAGTATATGCAGCAGAATGAACCAGTGTGAGGACAAAATCTCAGACACAGAAGACAGGATTGTAGTTAGTGATCATGAAAAGAAAGATTTCTTAAAAACGGCAAAGGACCACAAGAAATCATTCCAGCAGCAGCTAGACAATGCAAAGAAGAATAACATAAAATTGATTGGAGTCAATGAAAATGCAAGAGATGGTACAAATAATATTAAAAACCTGTTCACAGATGTCATGACAAAAAATTACCCTGGCAGGGAAAAACAACTTGACATACAGATAAATGAAGCATACAGAACTCCTATTAGCCATGATCAAGAAAAATCTACCTAAGGATCAACTGAACAGATTAAAAGATGCAGAAACAACTCCAGACACATTAAGCCACTTTATCTTTGATAAAGGCACCAAACACATTCACTGGAAGAAAGATAGCCTCTTTAATAAATGGTGCTGGACAAACTGGCTTTTCACATGTTGAAAATTAAAATTAGATCCAAATCTTTCACCATGTGGTAAACTAAAATTGAAATGGATCAAAGATCTAAATATTAAAACAGAAACATTAAATCTGCTGGAAGATAGTATAGGTAGAACTCTTGATAACACCAGTGTAGGCAAAGACTTTACCAAGAAAACCTCAATTGTACAGAAACTATCACAAAGAATCAACAACTGGCATCTCATCTTACTAAAAAGCTTTTGCATAGCAAGAGAAACCAACAGAGGGAAGAGACAACCACAGTGTGGCAATTAATTTTTGCCAGCTGTTCCTCATACAGGATTACTATCTAGAATATACAAAGAACACCAAAAAAAATCAGCCTTCCAACCCCCACCAAATTTAAAGACCCAATCTTTTGGATTCAGAACAGACCAGAAAAAAAAAAAAAAGACCCAATCTAAAAATGGGCATCTGAAATGAATACATTTCTCAGATAAAGAAGTACAAACAACAAATAAATATATGAAAATGCTCACCATCACTGGTCATTTGAGAGACGCAAATTAAAACAATGTTGAGATGCTATCTCACCCCAGAAAAAAATCGCTATTATCAAGATTTCAACCAATAACAAATGCTGGCAGAGCTGTGGGGCAAAAAGAACCCTTCTTCTCCACTGTTAATGGGAATGTAGACTGGTACAACCACTGTACAAATCAGTGGGGAAATTACTAAAAAAACACTAGAGTTTCCATTCAACCCAGCTATTCCTCTTTTTGATATCTTCCCAAAAGAATTAAAAGCATCATACCACAGTGATATACACACACCTATGTTTACAGCAGCTCAGTTTGAAACAGCTAAATCTTGGAAACAGCAACTGATGAATGAATAAAGATGATGTAGTTTTTTTATATAATGAAGTACTTTTTATAGTAGTTTTTATACAATGAGTATACAAAGAAGGATAAGCTTGAGACATTTCTTTTAGCTCAGTGGATGCACATTTAGGCCTGTGGTGGATTAAATAATGGGCAACTTGTAACACCCAACTGAGCTGAATCAGCACGGTGCTAGATGTGGAAGGTCCACCTGAGGATTTCTGCCAACAACATAAAAAGGAGAACTGGAGGGAAAGATGGTGTGCTGTAGATTCTCCTGGAGAAGTTTGTTGTGCTGGTTTTCCTGATATAAAATCAGTTGTTCTCATCACTGGAGGAGCTTACATCCTCACTGTCACTAAGGGTGGCTAAGGGTTTTTTCAGTGAAGCTCTGGTCCTTATCTTGATGCTGTTTCCTGGCGCCAGAGCAGATCCCCCAGCCTGCCGGCACAATCCCTTATCCTGCTAGTGCAGACTTTCTAGCTTCCACCACTGACCTTGGGTCTTTCCAGTGCAGATCTCTGGTACAGACTTGCATGAGACATTGTCATGGGCTCTAGGTCTTCAGCTGGACTCATGCAGGACACTGCTGTGGGATCCAGCTGGTTTCTTTGGGTCTCCAGTGTGTGGACAGATCTCCTACATTCTTTTGCATTTGATTCTTGGGGTAAGTATCATAAAATAATCCTTTAAATTATGTGTCCTGTATTAAATCTTTTCCCTTGTAAACCCTGACCACAACAAGGCCATACTCGTAAGTGAAAAAAATCGGACATGCATGTGTAAATTCTGAATTGTTTCTCTGGTGTGAGAAACTGAAAGTATAAATAAGGACAAAAATGTGTAACAGATATTGAGAAATAGGAAAATATCCAAATGGAAAGGGAAGTTAGGGATGAGGGAGAGGAAAAGGAAAGGAAAGAAAAAAATGATGAGAAAAGAAAGAAAAAAATGGAAACAAAGCGTTTGTAAATAAGGAGGTAAAGAGCAATTGAAGGTAAGGCAGAGGAATGGGAAAAAAAGAATCAAGTACAGGTATAAATTCCCTATAAGGAATATAATCATTGTGTATACTTAAAATGTACCAATAAAATTAATTAATTAAATAAGTTCCTATAAGAACGTCAATGAAAATACCAATAGCATTCTACAAAAAATCTTTACTTCAATCACCGCAGCTAAGTAATAAGAATATAAGATGCCAATAAAATAAAATATTGAATGTATAATGAATATTTAGACAACAAAACTTTCACATCAACTGTTACTTGCTTCAAAACCCAAGTGATAGGGGCTGGGGATTTAGCTCAGTGGCATAAGCGCCTGCCTTGCAAGCAGGCAGTCATGAATTCAATCCCCAGTATCGATAAAAAGGAAAAAGACAAAGAAAAAAAATCAAAGTGATAGCATCAGAAATAAAAAGCTATATGAGCAACAATGTAAACACAAACAAAAGTCTACCACAAAAATAATCTTTGCTTCAATTGTCACACCCAACACAGTCTTCACACGTGACAACTCCATGTTCCATATACACATATTGCTTACACTGACAGCACATGTTCTTAGCTTTCCTTTCCTATGCAGCAGGCCATTCTGTGTGTGTGTGTGTGTGTGTGTGTGTGTGGTACCGGGGATCGAACTCATGACCTTATGTTTGCCAGGCAGGCTCTTAGGCCACTGAGCTAAATATCCAGCCCAAGCAGACCATTCTTGTCACCTCTCTTCTCTTCCTGTTCTGTCAGGAGATTCCTGCTATGTTGTACAACATGCACTTAGCAAGCAAATAAGATGTCAATAAAATATCAAGTGTGCAACGAATACTTAGAATAAACATCAACATTTTCTCATCTGGTGTATACTTTCTTACAAGATCTACAAGATAACATGAAAAGAAAACCGATGTGAATGACAATAAAAATACCAATAGAACTCTACAACAAAAATAATCTTTGCCTCAATTGTTACACTCAACATAGTCTTCACATAAGAAAATTGCATGTTCCATAGATAAGCATCACTTACATGGATAGCACAGATGTTTTGTTTTCCTGTCCTTTCTTGTGGGGCACAGCTGACATCTTTTTGGTTTTCCTGTTATGCTGTACCTGCCTGTTCACTTTTGAGTTCACCAGTGTGGTCTACAATTTTTTTATATAGTTCCCTGGGCAGAAACATTTTATTTTTCCTTTACTGTAACAGAGCTCTTGTAAGTTCCAGTTCCAATCCTCTAGGAAGATTTCTCCATGCTATTTTGCACTTGTTATTTTCTTTGTAAATTATCAAACTATTTATGCCACACGTTTAGGATAGAGTAAAATGAAACCATTGGCCAAACCATTGCTTTGTGTTTCAAATGACATCATAGTTACTACATAACTCATCAACAATATCTATTCTGCATTTGGTTTTGCTACAGAAAGTTTCCATCACAGTCTTCTGTTTTGTCCAATGTTTCCCTATCAATATTTCCATCATGGTGAAATGTTGATATCATCAGTACCAGTTCATTTTTCTTTGCCATATACAAGGCCAATATAAATCTCTCTGAAATCCGAAGACTGTACTATATAATTCTGTTTTGAAACTGCAACATTTCATTTGGAATTTCTGCACTGGTCAACTTGTGCTCGGTTTGCAAATGTAATGTCAATTGGAAATTGGTAAACCAACTGTTTGGGAATGGGAACAACAAGTCTGTTCACAACATCATCCATTAATGCAGTTTATTACTATAACTGATGGCTAAGTTCCAGGAAAAATTTCTAAACTGACAGCAGAATAAGTCTTTACATCTACAAAGGTATAAATTTTTATGCCATACTTTGACCCACTGCTCTTCTGTAGGTCTTTTATATTCCTGTGATTATGATAAGAAATCCCTACTAAGTACAGAAGACCTATAAATGCTTTCAGCTCAGCTAATGAGGCTAATGAGACTTTTTTTTAAATATGGCTGTTGGTCCATACAAACATTTTACCTTATCTCAGTCTTTGGCTATTTCACAGCATCTTGTAGCTTCACCTGCTACAATTTCTATCACTGAATGGCAGTGCAGGCAATCTGTCCAAAACATTTCACTCTTGCCAAGCTCCTTACTGTATTTCCAGACCTAGTTCTAACATTGGATTGTTCCAGTTGGTTGCATGACTATGTTGTAACACTTCAACTAGTCATATATGTACTCACATTGTGTTTTCTTCGTCATCTGAACCAAGGTGTGTGTTCCTTGTGTCCATTATCAGTTGATTTTTGCCGCATCTCACTGTCACAGGAACCTTGGCTCACAGGGCCAACATCAAAGTCATCATCATCATCCACCCACACCACTCTTCTGTTGTGAAATCATGTATTTTTCCATAATGGATCACTGTCATTATCCATGCATGAGTACTCTGATGATTCACTTTTGACCTCCTCTAAAACTTACAAATGTGGTTTTTCATGTGCCATTGTACCAAATTGGGCTACTTCTACCAGAATAATCAAAAGACAACTTTTTTTTGAATTTTTAGACAATGTCTCACTATGAAGTTCAGACTGCCCTTGAACTCACTGTGATCCTCCTGTACAGTCTCCCAAGTGCTGCAATTAGAGGACTGTGCCTTCACACTCAACAAGTAAACTTTCTTTTGAAACAAATCCTAGAGTGGTGTGGGTGTATTATATGTCTGTGATGCTCAGGTAAACCTACACAAAAACCTGTTCCATAGAACATCATGTGGGTATAAATCCTGGTTTGAAACTTTTGTACATATTTTATCTTTGCACCAAGTGAGTAAACACATAGATTGCTTCCTGTATCCCTCAGGCAAAGGTACGGAGATGTACAACTGGCTACCATTACAATGAAGTAAAACTTTACAGCAGAAAAGTAAGAGATGGGTTTGTGGGACACAATGTTATGCTCTATGGGTTTTTAATAGGCATTTATGAATACCTACAAAAAAAACTTTTTCTCTTTTGATCTTTGAAAAAAGCTTAAATGACTTACAAATAAAAGTGAACACACAGACCAAAGGTTATCAAAAGCTACTATGAATGGCTGGTGATGCATCTCAATGATAGAGCAATTGTCTAGCATGCTCAAGGTCTTGGGTTCAATACCCAGTGACACACATACACACACGTACATGCACATACACACGTAAACACACACACAAAGGCATTCAGAGAAATGTCTTTATGGTAGATTTTTAGAAAGAGGAAGCACAATCGATGCAGAGAAAGTTGTAAATAAGAAGGCTCACAGAAACAGGAGGGGAAATATCTGCTTGGCTATTAATAAAGTGTAAGACTGTTTTTTGTTTGTAGTGCTGGTGATTGAACCCAGGGTATCATGCATACAAGGCAAGTGCTGTTCCACTGACCCACACCCCACCTTAAAACTGGTAAATATTAATAGTTGAGCTTTGCCTGACTGATCACTAGCCTAGGTAAATTACTTGATCTCTCTAGGCCTCATAAGTCTTAAAATATATATATTATGTATATAATATCTTTTTTTTTTCTTGGTACCAGGGATTGAACTCACGACTTCATGCTTGCCAGGCAGGCTTACACCACTGAGCTAAATCCCTGAGTCTAAGCCTCATTAGTCTTAAAATCACATATGCAAAGTGTTTACTTAATACAATGTCTACTTAAGTGTTAAGTACTCAAAGAACTATTAATTATCATTATTATAAAAATTTTTGAAGAATCTACCCAAAGGATATAATCAGACATGCAAATCAATTTTTATTGTTTTGACACAGGGTCTTAAACTCACTATGTGGTCCAGCGTGGCCTTCAACTCAAGGAAATCCTCCTGCCTTAGCATCCCAAGTGCTGGAATTAACAGGCATGCACCACCACACTTGGTGCAAATCAAAATTTAAGTTTGTAGTGCAAGGCCCAGTACCAAAACAACAACAACAACAACAACAAAAAGTATACAGATATTCAAAATAACCTTATGGGTAACAATGAAAAACTGTAACAATTTATATGCTACATAATTGTTAAGTGAGTTATGGTAAAAAGAATTATAAGCATTTGGAGAGATAATAAATAAATTGAAGTAATTAGAAAAGCAATCTGAAAACTCAGGGCATAGCACATTTTGAGGACTCTGCACCTGATAGACTAGAACCTCAGATGTGCAGATAGGATGTAAACCTACACAGCATACATGAGATCCTGGGTTTAATCCCCAACATCAAAAACTTTAAAGATTTCAAATGTACAACATCTTATCTTTCAAGAAACTAACTGGCAGTGACGAATATTGTTTAGAACTGAACCACATCTACAGTGCCTTACCTGAATAAACACAGATGTCCTCTTTGCAGGGTCCCATAGGAACTCCACTGTATTTAACTGGGTTGGATTAGCCCTAGGATCGATGATACCCACAGACATTGGGATATCTGAGAAACAAAACAGTAATCACTGAGAACAATACTGAGAGTTGTTTATTTTTATTTTTTGAGATGAGGTCTCACTATACTGCCCAAACAGGTCTCAAAATCTTGCTCTCAAGAAATTTTCCTGCCTCTTAAGTAACTGGGTACAAACCAGCACATCCAAAGTTACTCAATTTTAGGTGAGAAAGCACTGGTTCTTGTATCACTAACCTCTAGTTACTGAGATTCTTGTGTATCAAATCCTAAACTCCTTTTCTACCAACAAAAAATGTTAGATTGTTAAGCATTCTCCTCCTAAGAATCCTTTCTCCAATTTTTAAAATTTTTTTTGTTTTAGAAAGGATAAAACATAATAAAACCAATCAAACCACTGTAAGAGGTACTGGCCTAAAAATATTACAAAATTAACAATAGTTAACCATAATGCCTTTTGATGTCTTCAAAATAGCTGTACCTTCAGATATATTAAAAATCAAACAAACAGAACAAGATATAACCAATAAAATCAAACCAGTGAATGCAATAAACCACTTCAAAACCAGCTCATAGTAAATCCAAAATTGCTACCATAATGTATCTTGTTATATTTGAAACAGCTACTCCTGCAATCAGATTGGACACAATCAAACAAAAGAGAGTAAAACCCAGCCCAACAAAACAATGGAAACGATACAGGACTTCCAAAACAAGACCAAAACAAAACAATGGCTGCAACCCTAAGAAGGAGATCGCACTGCTTACCACTATCCTCTGAACCCATGGTCAGAGCACTGGCTCTACACCTGCAAGGTCATTGAAACAACAAAGCACTACAGGCATCCAATTGCATTTCACCTCCACAGCTATCATCACAGCCTGTTTCTCCTGATATGATCGTCGCTTATTGGGGGGGGGGGGGGGGGAATATGCTACTTCTTGTTTGCCAGCCGGTGCCCAGAAGGGGCTGGGGTCTGGCTGTTCCAGTCTAGCAGGGACATGCTTATGACGCTGCTTCCCAGACTGGCTTTGCTTGCTCACTGATGTGTTCTTTGTTTTTCTACCCCTAGTCTGCAAATGACCCTTTCTCCACTTTTAAATTGTTAAAATAAGACAATTTAAGGCAGTTTCCTTTCAATTTGCCCAAAAAAAAAAAATCTATTTAAATCAGGCATGACTGCACACAGCTGTAATCCCAGCACTTGGGAGGTGGAAGCAGGAAGGTCATTATGAGTCAAAGGCCAGCCTGCGCTATACAGGAAGTTCAAAGCCAATCTGAACTGAACTACATAATGAGACCTTGACTCAAAATAAAAACATATATATACTTAAAGGTGGACTGGGTCTACAAACTAGTTCTCCTACCATGAAAACTGTAATTTATAATGCGTTTCCCGTACAGTCTTAAGATCAATGTTATGGCTAGAAGCATAATAAGAGGACTACTGTAGACATGTCAAGCACAGTGTCTGTACAACAGCATAAAGTATTATTTCAAAGACAGAAACAGGAAAATTTTAACACAAAGACTGATGCTGACTTACCAAGTTATTAAATAATCTTATAACACAATAACGAATCTTATACTCAGGAACAGAGTAACATTTACTGGGTTTCAGTAAAACTTTGACTCTTATTCCACCTAGCACATACCCAAATATCATTCCTTGGCTTCTAATAGTCAAGTTAAGAGATAAGGCTAGGTGATATTTTTATTATTATAAATGTGTGATAAGTACACTACTATTTTGGCATCAATGATTCAAAGAAGAAATATTAAGTAGGGAGCCAGGGAAAGAGCTCAGTGGCATAAGCACCTGCCTGCCAAGCACAAGATCCTGAGTTTGATCCCCAGTACCAAAAAAAAAAAAAAGAAAGAAAGAAGGAAATATTAAGTAGGTCCTACTCTACAGGGTTGATTGTGTTTGATTCATTTTAAGGTCAATATATCATACAGGTCTCAGAATATCTGTATAAGAAGCACAATTTTCTCAGGTAAAATTAGAAGTACTTAAATTAGTGTAGCTACTATGTTTATGATAAAAATATTAACCAACTGGAGATGGTGGAATTAAAAGTACATTAAGGAGGGCTGGGTATGGCTCCATGGTAAAGTCTGTGCCTAGTATGTACAAGACCCTGAGCTCGATCTGCAGCACTGCCAAAAAAAAAGCAAAACAAAATAAAAACGGACCCTCAAAAATAGAGACTGATGTATATTTGTAAAGATCCCCCCCTTACACCCTATTACTTAGAAAAGGCAAATTCTGCGAGGCAAATAGAAAAAAACTAAACTGCAAACCAAGAAACACAGATTCCAATCCCAGAACATCCATTTTAGCTAATGGCATACAACTAATCTGGTCCATCAGGCACTAGTAAAACCAAGGAACTATCATCATGTTGGTGAAAAAACTTAGCCCCATTTACATACCACTCAAACAAAAATCAGAGCTCAACAGCCAAAGAAATCCATAAAAACGAAAGTTGGATGATCCCATTCTTTCTGACCTGAAATGAACTACAAAGCTACACTTACTAAAATGATCTGGGTACAGTGGCATATGGCTGTAATCCTAGCACTCTGAAGCAAGAGGATCACAAGTTTAAGCCCAGGCTGGGTCACTCAGCAATTTAATGAAATCCTGTCTCAAAATAAAAAATTTTTAAAAAGAGATGAAGCTGTAGCTCATTGTAAAGGCTCTGGGTTCAATACTCAGTACTGTCCAAAAAAAGCTATTTTAGCCAGGCATGGTGATACATATCTGTAATTCTGACATTTAGAAGGCTGAGGTAGAAATATCACAAATTCAAAGCCAGAATGGGCTATCATAGCAAGTTCAAAGTCAATCTGGACTGTATAGTAACATCCTATCTCAAACACTAGCCCACCCAAAAACACACCCCAACGTGGCATGGTATAGGCACGAAGATCAACATATTGCCATGTGAGTTGGTGCACTTTTATACATTTGCAGTTCCAGCTACTTGTGAGGTTAAGATAGGAAGATCGCAAGTCAGCCTGGGAAACACAGACGATCCTGTCTAAAAAAGAAAAAAAAAGACATACAGACAAGTGGAGTAGAATAAAAAGTCCAGAAATAAGTCAAATATATGGTCAAATAAATTTCCACAAGGATGCTAATACTCTTTCAGCTTTTCTCACAGATGGTATTAGGATACCTATTCACATGCAAAACAATGTTGGCCCCTTGTACCACATATAAAAATGGATTCCAAAGTCATCCATGACCTGAATGTAAGGCCTAGAACTATAAAAGTTTTAGATGAAAACATAGAAAGAAAGCTATGTAACATCAGATTTTTAATATTTCTTAGAAATGACACCACAGGGAGCTCCAGTGGCACAACTGATTAGCGCGCAGTGCTTAGATAGAAACGACACCATAAGCACAGTAAATTTAGAAAACAGATAAATTAAGACTGCCCCAAATTCAAAGCTTTTTTTTTTATTGTTTGTCTTTAGAGATGAGGTTTTGCTATGTAGTTCAGGCTAGCTCTGAAATCACTATGTAACCCAGGTGGACCTAGAACTGGCAATAATCCTCCTGCCTCAGCTTCCGAAGTGCTGGAAATATAGGCATGCACCAACCACACCCACTTAAATTCAGAAGTTTGTACATCAAATGACATTATGAACATAGTGAAAAGGCAATCCATGGAATGGGACAAAATATTTGTGCATGATTTATCTGATATGGGATTAACATTCAGAATATATAAAGAATTTATATGAGGCTGGGGATTTAGCTCAGTGGCATAAGCACCTGCCTTCCAAGTGCACGGTTGTGAGTTCAATCCCCAGAACCGATTTAAAAAAAAAATTTTTTTTTAATTTAAAAAAAAAAGAATTTATACAATGACAATCACCACAAAACCATTTGAAAATAGGAAAAAGTCTTACATAGATGGTTCCAAAAAAAGATGCACAAATGGTCAATAAGCATATGAAAAAATATTCAGTTCAGTAATCATCAGGGAAAATTGAATCAAAATTACAAAGAGACACCATTTCACGCACATTAGGATAGCTACAACAAAAAAAATACACAGTCAGGCTGGGGTGTAATTTAGTGATAGACTGCTTGGCTAGCACGCATGAGTCCCTGGGTTGATCTCAGTACCACAAAGGAAGAAAGAGAGGGAGGGAGGGAAGAAAGAAGAGGAGGAGGAAGAAAGGAGAGGAGAAGAGGAGGAAAGAAAAACCAAAAACTTTGAACATACTGGTAGGAATGTAAAATGAGCAATTATTGTAGAAAATACTATAGCTTTTCCTTGAAAAAATTAAAAATAGAATTACCATACGATCCAACAATCTCACTTCTGAGTATACAGCCAAAGGAAATAAAAGCAGAGATTCAAACACATTTGTACATTCATGTTCATAGCATCATTCATTATTTATAATACTCAAAAGGTAGAAGCAATCCTAGCATTTATTAACAGAAAAATAGGTAAACAAACTGTTATATATATTTATATACATATAATATATATCATATATAATATATATATGTACATTTCAGCCTTGAAGAGGAAGAAAATAGTGTGTGTGTACATGTGTGTGTGTGTTGCTAAAGAAAGAACCCAGGCTCTCACACACCTGCTAGGCAAGTGCTATACCACTGAGTTATATCCCCATCTTTTTTATTTTGAGACAGGATCTAAGTCTCCCAGGTTGCTTCAAACTTGTGACCCTGATCCTCCAACCCAAGCCTCCTCAGTAGCTAAGATTACTATGCCCAGCAAGAAAGGAAATTCTGATGTATATGTTACAACATGGTGAAACTTGAAGGCATAGCTAAGTAAATGAAGGTAATCACAAAACAACAAATAATACATGGTTTCATTTATATATACCTGGATTAATCCAATTCATAAAGACAGACAGATCAGTGGTTACCAGGGGTTGTGGGGATAAACACATTGACTAATAGATATAGATTCAATTTTGCAAGATAAAAAAATTCTGGAGATAGATGGTAATGGTAGTTATACAACAAGTGAATGTGTTTAATGACCTGAACTGCAAGATGGCTAAAATGTTACATTTTGTTATACCTTACAACAATTTTAGATGCATGGGTTTGAGACAGGGTCTCACAATGTAGGGCAGGTTAGCCTTGAACTCGCTTAAGCAGGCCACACTGGTCTCAAATTCATGGTGATCCTCCCGTCTCAGCCTCCCAAGCACTAGGACTACAGGCGTGCACAGGCGGCCATTGTAACAAATTATACTGAATGCCATTACAATTTAAAAACAAAACAAACCAGGCTGAAGTAATGGATATAAATGTTATGGATAGGCTCATGATGTAGTTCAGTGGTAAAGCACCTGTGTGGCAAGCTTGAGGCCCTGAGTTCAATTCTGAATACCAAAAAAAAAACAAAAAGGAATCAAAGTGTTTATATTTCCAACTTGAATTTTTACATCATCATATAGGCAATGTTAATTAAGTCTCTGAAGCCCAGGAACCAAGGTAAATATCTAGGAAAGAAAATCGACTCTGAGTCTGTGGTTGAAGGCATTTCCTAAGCAACCTATTCTCTTAACTCACCAATGTCAAGGATCCTATCTCCAGGTCGGTTCCACCTCCAGCCCTCTAGCTGCTGATGTTCAGTGTACTGTAGCCTTCTGTCATGGAATACTACACGGAATATACTCTAAAAGGAACAATAAAACTGATTAACAGGATCCCTTAAAAATCAGTGCTGACAAAGGAAACAAGCAGTTACTACCAGTTGGTTTCTAGACACAATTTAAAAGTATGTACCATTTCTCTCTAATACTTGTATTGTTCCAAGCTTTATGATAAATAAGCTGCAGGATAAACTTTATCATTTCACATATAATCTTTGTAGTTAACTGGTATAATTACTTAAATGTTAAAAGACTCCTACATGAAAATGTCTTCCTCCCAGTGCTGGAGATTAAACCCAGGGCCACGCAGTATTCCCACCCCCCACCCCACCCCGGGCACTGGAGGTTAAACCCAGGGCTTCATGCATGTCAAACGACTACTCTACCACTGAGCCACATTTCGCCACATTTCTCCCCTCTGCTTTTTGTGGTTTTGAGACAGCATCCCACTAGGCTTCCCAGGCTAGCCTGGAAATTGTGATACTCTTATCTTAGCTTCCCAAGTGGCTAGGATTACAGGAATGCGCCATTACACCAGGATCTATGTGAAGCATTTCCATGTGCTTCTACTATTACACATGTAACAGCCAGCTCAGCTCTTCATGGATGTATGAAGAACTCACCAAGTTACCTGCTTGCTAACCCATCATACAACCCCTTAAACAATGAGGTATGGGAGGGTCTATTTGTATCAATTTCCCTTTTGTTTCGCTTACTCTTTAGATGTGTCTGTTAATCCCTCTCATCATTTTTTACAGTTTCCAATACAACTCTGTCCCAATTGTGCTGTGAATTCTCAAAATCCTTAAGGTTGGTCTAGACAAAGAGACCCCCTATTCAGATGGTTTCTGTTTTCCTTGCTACTTGGGCTCCAGCTAGCTGAAGAGAAAGTTATCTGAAGATCTGGAGGTGGTTACTTTACTCCACAAAATAGAACTTTACTAAACCACAGGACCACCCTGAATGTGGACCTGTGAGCTTTCTGCAGCTCTGAAAACCCCATGTGAAGCGGGGTGCTTACCCCCCCTAACATATCAGTGTGCTCCTCTTGCCAGCCAAATATGGTACCTGGGATGCCATTGAGCTCTTTACAGAAACAAAAGAATATTAGTCCAAAAAATTACTTATGCAGAAGAATGATTTATTCATTTTCTTTTACCTTCACCAATTTGCCATTAATTTCTGGAAGTTCTCCAAGTTTCCTATTATCTAGCATTCGGATTTCGTAAGACTGTCCTAGAAGAAAATGTAATTACATTATTATACTCATCACAAATTAATCTACCTAGATTCAGAAAGGATAAAATTCAGTTAATTGACTATATAACATTCCTTGTACTAGAAACAACAAAAATAAGCCTTTACCAGATGCTAGGGACTGTGAATACTTTCATACATTATTTCCTGTAACTGATGGAACTTTTGGAGGTATTATCAGTCTCACTGACAGATAAGAAAATTAAAGAATTTTTTAAAACTTGCTAAGACTATAAAACTGCTACATAATAGAGCTGAAGATGAAAATACTTTTCCAGTAATCACTGGAGATGTCCAGGATATATGGATTTAAAAAGGGAGCTCAATAGCTGGGCATGGTGGTGCAGATCTGGGATTCCAGCACTTGGGAGGCTGAGGCAGCAGGACAGCTGCAACTTCAAAGTCAGTTTGGGCTATCTAATGAGTTCTAAGTCAGCCTGAACTACATAGCAAGACCTTGTCTCAAAACACACACAAAAAAGAGGGAGTGCAAAACTAAAATAAGCAGATAAACAAAAAAGCCAGTAATATATATCAAGTGTGACATTAAAACTCAAATCTCTGAAGTAAGGCCTCTAGTCTGACAAGCCCACTAGAAAGATCTAGCTTTTTACGTAAGTGTGTTTCTAGGGACATCAACCCAGGAAGTTTGTAATAATATCAACGAATGAGGAAGCATCTAACCTTGATTGAGGTATGTCAAGGTTTCATCGTGCAGTTTCACGGCTGGAGAAGTGGCAGCGCAAAGCACATACTGGAAAGGTGGGATTTCATTCTCATTATCAGGAGGCAGATTTGACTCTTCTTGTTTAAAAATGGGCAATGCAAGGACATCACTAAAATAAAACAAATGAATAACATAAATATCTGACAATGGGGCAAAAGCGGGTTTAGTAATGAAAAGATTTAACTGCACCTTGCTTTGGAAAGCCTGAAGTATTACTTTGGTCCTTTCATCCAAATCATTCAAATCAGCTCACCTGCTGTGACACTCCCCTGACCACAACAATGTAGGTGATGACAAATAGTCACTGCTAAAACCACCAAGGTGGCCAAAGACACTATTTCGAGGAGCTACAGACAGGGGTTCGTAAAAATTCCCTGAAAATTATATGCAGAATTCCAAAATATAAAGTGAGGATAAAAAAGAGTAAGAATAATTAGGGCTATTATTTGAATTTGGTTTGAGCATGGCCCCCAAAGGTTTTATGCTAGAAGCTTAGTCCTCAGTGCTGAGCTAGTGGAAACTTTAAGGGAGTAAGGCCTGCTGAGCACAGTGGCATCCAGAACTTGAGAAGTTGAGACAGTAGGGTTACTGCAAGTTTGAGGCCAGCCCATGCCCTATAGTGAGTTCAAGGCCAGCCTGAACTACAGAGTGAAACCCATCAGGGACACCACTCTAAGAAGAAGTGAGTGTAGGGCTTGTAGGGCTTGATTAGTTCCTGAGAAAATGAGTTATAGGGAGCTTGGCACTCTCCTTGAGCCTCCATTCTAAATGTATCTCTTGTCAGGCTCAGATTCCTGCAATCCCAGGATTTAGGAGGCAGAGGCAGGAAGATCATTTGAGCCTAAGAGTGGACTACATGGTTCATCTACTATAAAGACTATAACAATTTTTAGGATTCCTTAGAAGTCTCATGAAAAGAACAAACTGATGGCCAGTATACATTTCAAAGTGACACAGCATTCTGTGGAATAAAGCTAATATTGAGATGGTAACATCAGTCATTCTGAGGTGCTAGGGGAAGAGAACTGGAGGAGGTCAGAAGTCCTAAGTTTCAGTTCCTGAAATCTCAGGCAAGGTCCCATTCCTTCAATTACAAAATGGGAATTGCATTTGCTGTCAAGAACAAATACATGAGAAAATATTTGGGGAGTTATAAGATGCTAAAATAGATGTAAGATTAGTAAAAACATGTCCTCGTAAACTCTAGTCATAGATTAGCAGGTTAGAGTATCCTAAGCCTTATCCTGAATGTTGTTTTTTTGAGATAGGATCTTGCTGTAATTCAGACTGGCCTGTAACTCATGGTGAACCTCCTGCCTTTGCCCCCTAAGTGCTGGGATTACAGGCACGCACAATGCCCAGCTCACATCCTAAATCTTGATCACTAGCTACCCTAATTTAATATCAGTCTTAAAAATTATGCTAAATTATAGATGATTTCCAATGATCTCAAAACAAAACATGAAATTCTTAAAATGAAATATATTCTATTCTGAGAAAAATATGTAACGATACTATTACAAGAGCTAAAATGAAAGACTGACAGCTCAAATATTGGCAAGGAGGTAGAGCGACCAGACCCTCATATTTTGCCAATAGAAACGTAAAATGATAGATATAACTTTTAGAAAAAGTGTTAGTTGTTTCTTGTAAGATTACTAGTATTAGTATTAGTATTATTTTGGTACTGGGGGTCAAACGATCTTGCACTTGCCAGGCAGGTGCTTATGCCACTGAGCTAAATCCCCAGCCTCTTATAAAATTAAATACATACTTGTACTTTGATCCAGCAGTTCTACTTGTGGGTATTTATGCAAGAAAAATGAAAGCATAAGTCCATTCTAAGACTTGTATTGTCACTGATCACACATAAATGCAAAAAATGAAAGAGAGGAACTCAAACGTTCACAATTAAGAGAACCAGTACACAAACTATGTTTGTATTCACACAACAGACTACAACTCAGCAACAGAGGACTGCAACAACACAGATAAATAAATCTCAAATACAATGCTCAACAGAAGAAGCTAGACAAGGGACTAGGGGAGTAGCTCAGTGGAGATGCACTTGCTTCGCAAGTATGAGGAACTAAGTTTGAACTCCGATACTGCAAAAAAGAAAGGAAAAATAAAAGCGAAGGATTTAATTTTGTTTTTAGTTCTAAAAAGCTAGGCATAATGCGTAATGTATGATTCAATTACATGACACTCTTCTATTTATGTGACACTGTACAGCTGGTAAAACTAAAGAGAACAATGGTTCCCTGGCCAAGCACAGACTCTCTTGGAAGGGATATGGTAACTTTTGGGGATGACAAAAAAAATGTTTTATGCTATGATCGGAGTGTGCTCCATGGTTCTAACTGTACAGCTTAAATCGGTGTATTTCAATGTATACGAACTCTATGTTAAAAAAACTGAATAGAGGAAAGGAATGAGTGAGAGTATAAATCAGTATAGCATGTGAATGATCTTAAAGCAGGGAGATGAGTACAAAAGGCTTCCTCAAATTATTCACTTCATTTTGTGCATTTCTTATGAACAAAGCTTTTCATAAAAAATATATATAAGCCATAGGGTACATCTAGATACAAAGGGAAAGAAATAGAGTACCTGATGCAAACAACTGAGACTCTTCTAAAAGATTAGAAGAGGTCTAGTAATTCTTTTCAATATTCTCCACATTCAAAATGGAATATATGCAAACTTTTAAATATAATTTAAACATTACACTTATAAACCAAGATCAAATTTTACTATATACAGATGAAAAAGCAATTCCTTACACCCACCTGTATCCCCAGCAGTATACATTCCCTTCCGAAAGTACATTAGATTATAGGGTAATTAATTTGTGCAGTCAAAAACACTACTGATAGAAGATTGATTATATTCATGTGACTTTCTTTGGGCAGTGCTGGGAATTAAAATGTAAATCTTAAAAACCACATTATAAATTCTTATTTAAAAAAAGAAACAGCAAATGTTATGATCATTGGCCAAGACACACAGTTGTAGTAATATCTAAATTTAAGATGGGATGCACACTAAAAAAGGAAGGAAGAAAAAAGAAATTTTTCTTTCTCTGGATGTCTAAATAGCAAGGTTATAAGAATATATGTTATTATTTGAATCCACTTAGCCTAGATGTGTATGTTTTTAAATAGTTTCTACTTGCCAAAAGAAAGCCCAGAAATACAAAAGGTGCTTTTCTGTTCTTTAGGCATAGAGACGTGTGTGCTGCTCATAAATGGAGTTTTGAGTGGAGAGAGTGGAGGGTCCTTCTTCCTTTCATATCACTGGGTTAGATGAAATATACTGTAACTCCCTGGAGAAAATTCAAAACTATAGAAGCACAGTATATTCTAGAAAAGTATTGTGTCTCAAGTCTACTTCTCAAAATCAGGAGCTCCCTCTGTAGGATTCCCACAACAGTATAGAAAATGAAGAAAATATCACAAATCTTTAGAGACACAGCATCAGTCATTGGACGACTTTACTGCCATGTTATTCTCAAATATACCACAATGCATAATTTCTTGAAAGATTAATGAAGATTACCAGGAATTACAGAAAATAGTATTTTGCAACGTAGTAACAGCTCAACTCTTTAGGAAAGTAGAAGCAGTGATGGCAACCTAAATGTTTAGAGTTTCAGTAATAACAAACGGCTGGGTGTGCCATTGGTTTGCCACCACTGGTATTATTTTTTCTTCTTCTCAAATTTTTTTTATTTTTTCTTCTTCTAGCCAGACAAGGTTAACAGATAGGAACAGGGCCTTGACTCAGCATCATGTGTTTGGCTTTACACTGAACACTCCATGACTAAGCAAAGCACTGTCACTTGGACTAGAATTTTTTTTAATTATTCCAAAAGTTACTGCTAAAATTAACTCAAAATAGTATACCCAATCCAGATGTCTAAAACTGTATTTCCTGACCAAAGATTTTAAGTCCCAAATAAATGTGAATTATTCATATCTTTGCTATATTGCCCTTCTTTAACTCCAGAGTGGGATCAAAGAATAGCATTCAGTTCTACATTCTTAGAGAGGGAAGCTAAAGATCACTGTGAATAGCTGTAGGTCCATGCTTATTTCAAAACAAAAACAGCTGGGTGTGGTGGCTCACGCCTGTAATTCCAGCACGTGGGAGGCAGAGGCAGTAGGATGGTTTGGGAGTTCAAGACCAGCCTGGGCTACAAAGTGAGCTCAAGGCCAGCCTGAACTGCATAGAGAGACCTTGAATCAAAAAGACAAAAATAAAAAATAGTAAGTAAATAAATGTATAAATTGAGAATATGTTTAAAATATGCATTCCTAACTGGAAACCCACAGTTTAGAATGGAGGGATAGCAGAAAACATTTGAGTAGAATAAAGAGAAGAACAGAAGCAGTGTCAGGAGCGAGCAGATTCTACAAAGGTTTGCGGCATGTTCCCTTGAACACTTTCTACTAATTCATCCCTGTATAATCTCCCTTCACACCTACAAGTTGCTGAGGTGCTGTCTTTAAAAAGAGCCTTGAAAAGGGGCAGAGAGAGATTTAAAGAGTTTTTACCTGGCATAAGCAAAATAGTAAATAGCAACTAAGAAAGAAACTAACTTGAGATCTTCAGACTTCGAGCTTCAATTTTCTCACTGGCAAGCCTCATTTAGCATTCACTACATGATAAAGCATGCTAATTTTTAGGTCAGCTACAGCTCAAAAAGGCAAGCCACATCCAGTAAATAATTGATAGCAACAACTTTAAAGATGAGAGATACTAAAAATTATAGTTGAGCTGGGCATAGTGACACATGTCTGTAATCTCAGCACTCTAGGAGTTTGAGGCAGGAGGATGGCAAGTTCAAGTCCAACCTGGGTAATTAAAGACCTAATGAGACTCTGCCTCAACATTAAAAATGAAAGAAAGACAGAAGGAAAAAAAGAAATAGAAAGGGTTCTCTGTATATCCAGAGACAGGGCCTCTATATTGTCCATGCTGCTCTTGAACTCACTATGCAGCCCAGCCTGGCCTCAAACTCACAATCCTCCTGCCACTGCCTCCCACAAGCTGGGATTACAGGTGTGCATAAATGACACCTGGTTTGTTACAGCAGTAATTTTACTATAGTTTTGTTTAACAGAAGAAAGTAGGCTAATTTCCTGGGATTTGTAGGAAGGAAAAAAGGCCAGATCAGAGAGGTGATCTGGAAAGCAGATAAGGCCAAAGTTTTAACAGGAAGTCACTGAGATTTCCTAACTACCCAGTAAACACAAAACTTAAGTTTATCTTGTAGGTAGGCCCAGGTATCCTCTATAACAAGTAATGATAAAAAAAAGTTTCCACTATTGAAAAATCTCATTCAACTAAAAACCAGCACTTAAGGTATTAAAGTCTACCTTGCTTTATCACCCAGAAAGTACAAGTAATAAACAGAATAAGAAAAAAGTGATCAGAAAAGTGGAGAGCCTCAAAAGACAATAACCAAGCCCAGGGACGGAGCCCATTTGCAATCACAGCACTCTGGGAAACTGAGGCAGGAGGTTGGCAATATTGAAGCTTATCAGCCTGGGCAATTTAGTGATTTAAGGAAACTGCCTCAAAATAAAAAATAAAAAAGTGCTAAGGACACAGCTTGATGTGGAGTATTTATTTTTAAAAAAAGCAGTAATCAAGTCAGATGGAAAGAACATGGCACATGGCCACTGTGGCCTCTGGGCTCAGAGAACAGGCTTCACGCAGAGCAGGGGTAGAACCTAAGCCCATTATCTGAGTTGCTAAAAGAGAAGACAACAGAACCAAGGTTCAAAAATGAAATTCTGACATTATCTAAGGTTCAAAAATGAAAGTCTCACATTATCTGAGATAAAGGAAAAAAGCAAGTTAATGAAACAAAACAGAAATGAGGCGTGGTGGTACAAGCTTGGATTTCTGAGCTTAAGGAGTCTGGGGCAGGAGAATCCCAAGTTCCAAGCTAGCCTGGGAAACTTAGTCTCAAAATAAAAAATAAAAAAAAAGATCCTGGGATATACTTCAATTCAAAGGCCCTGGGTTCAATCCCCAGTACTGAAAGAGAAATGGAGACAGAGACCGCAAGAGAGAGAGGAATAAAAATGGTGTCAAACATGCTGAGACCTACAGAAAAGGCAGGCAAGCACAAGCTCACTCTTCAATGTAATTACTAACTAATATGAAGCAGACAGAAGAATCTCTCAACTCCTTTCTTCCTCCCTCCCTCCTTTCCTTCCTATGTATGTGTGAGGGGCAGGGAGGGTAGCAGGGATTAAATTCTGGGCTTCACACATGGAAGGCAAGTGTTCCTACCACTGAGCTACAGCGACATCCCTTTTTATTTTTATTTCTGTTTTTATTTTTATTTTGAGACAGCATCTCCAGCAATTGCCCAAGCCTCCCTTAAATTTGCAATCTTGCAACCTCAACCTCCAAGTAACTGGCATCAGGAGCATGCACCACTATGTCTGTCTGGCTGCTTCTAGGTTTTCTGTCCAAACATTCATCTTGAAAGCAGGAAGAAAAGAACAGTTGTTAGAAAAACTCAATTAATGACCAAGATAAATAAAGAGAGTATCAAAGAGGGCCTTGCATATCTAAACAAATTAAAAAGAAAAACAGAACAGAACAGATGTCTCTTGGATGAATTATGTACCAGGAAAATTAAATAATCCAAGGATAAGATCTATGAATAACACTATGTAAATTCAGTCAAATTTCATAATTCTAATGATGCCAAATATTACACTAAGCTTTTATATATGTGGTAGCTATATTAATTTATTTAATTTTATTTTATTGGGTCTTGTTGTTTTGCTTGTTTGTTGTTGTTGTTTTTTCTTTTTTTCTTTTTTTTTTTTGAGACAGTCTTGCCTTGTAGTTTAGGCTGGCCTTGAATTCAATATGTAGCCCAGGTTGGCCCTGACGATTAAGCCAAATGTCTTCTGGTAACTAATCTCCAGAGATGGTCTCTGATGCCCTGAATCCCCTGTCTTAGCTTTCACAGCCATCCTTCCATGCTGAACCTGGGCTGGGGAGCTATTTTAACAAGAGTGGAAGAAACCATCATGCCAGTTCCATTCTTTAGACTAATCCTCGAGGGGAGTTTATTTTCTCCTTCACACTTCTGGAAACCCTGAACTTCATAGCTAAGAAGTCTGTGGTTTTAAGCAGGAACCTAGACATATTTTTCTATGATCTGTTGGCCATTTCAGAGCATTAGAAATGTAATGGTTTCACTGAAGAGGAATGAAAAAAAAAAAAAAAAGAAATGTAATGGTCAATTCCTTAGAAAGAAACAGCTAATTTTAAAAAATGTTAAGCCAGATATGATAATGCTGGCCTGTAATTCCAGTACTCCGTAGGCTGAGACAGGAAGACTGCTATAAGTTCCAGGCCAGCCTAGGCTGCAAGGTGCATTCAAGGCCAGTTTAAACTACGTTATAAGACCATGTCTCAAATAAAAAATGAATTAAAAAAAGTACGGCCACTCTGCTGGAAGCAACATACAGAAAAAGAGACTCAGACCACAGAGAGAGACAGAGAAAGAGAAGGAGGGAAGGAGGAAGGTAGAGGGAGGGAAGCAGAGAGACAGAGAGCGATGGAGAGAGAGCGCAAACATGAGCTATGTCAGGGTCCCAGCAGCAGCAAGCACCATACACAAGAGTGAGCCCTCCTGGATGCACTGGCCTAGAGCCCCAGATGACTACAGCCTCAGTTGAATAAAGCAGACCCGAATAGTCAATGGGGGGGGAGGGGGTTAGTTTTGATTTTTTGGACAGGGTCTCACTACATAGTTCAGGCTGGCCTGACCTCACTATGTAGCCCAGGCTGGCCTCAATCTCATGACAATCCCACTGCCTCAGCCTCCCAAGTACTGGCATTACAGGCATGCACCACCACAGCTGGCAATGCATAGTCAATGAACAGAGTCATGAGAACTGATAAAGTATTATTGTTTGGGGGGGTGATAAGACAGTACAATAACCTTTACTATGTGATAAGACAGTAGAATAACCTTTCATTACAAAGCTTCTAAATAACTGATCTACAAAAAAACAGGGACTATGCAAAGTAAGATACTAAGTTAACATTACTTAAGAGTAGATCTACTAAGAAAAAAAAAAGGCCATGAGTGGTGGCACATACCTATAATCCCAGTTCCCAGCTACTCAGGAGGCTGAGGCAAGAGGATCACAAGTTCAAGGCCAGCCTGAGGAACTCAGCAAGAGCAGGCACAAAACGAAACTTTAAAAAGGCCTGGGATATAGCTCAGTAGGAGGCCCTGGATTCAATTTCCAATACTGCAAAAAACAAAGGAAGGAAGGACAAAGGTAGGCCAGCCACCACACAGAGAAAAACCAAGAACACCACTCCAAAAGCCATGACTTTTAAGGAAAAAATACAAAATAAAGCACAAACCATCTCAGAATACAAATAATAACTCAGCTTTGCTTATATTACATTTAAATGAACACATGCTGTGAATTCAGGAACTGATTGTCAATAAAATACACTTATTTTCATTTTTCAGGTAAAGAAAATCATATTAAAGCATTTGAACAATATAGCAAGATTCAAAACAGTAAGCAAGTCCAGACTCCAGAGGACCCAGGGAAAGTCACACTTGCCACTAGGCTGCAGCCTGAAGACACCATTAAGCTGTGTACACACTTCACTGGGCTACGGGCCCCCAGCCCCGGCCCAAGGCTCTGCGCTACCTCTCTTGGCTCCTGGCTTCCATATGATTCTAAAGCCGCTGTCACCACAGGTTTCCCATGTGTGACAGTTAACTGACTGTGTCATCTTGAGTAAGAAACATCCAACTAAACTGGATCAGGATAGTTCTGGGTGTGGGTGAGGGCATTTACTAAAACTGGAAGACCCAGGCAGGGTAGGGTTGTCACCTGAGTGGCGTAAAGGGGCCACAGAGAAGGAAGGCTCACTTCTATTTCTTTGCTGGAGCTCCAGTCTTCACCTTGGACATCACCTCCTGGCTTCCGGTGCCTGTGGATACAGACTCGCACCGGACACAGCAGTGAGCTCCAGGGCTTTCTACTGGACCCTTCAGATCCCCAGCCCTTTGGCACTTTTCCACCTTTGACTCTCAGCAGTCACTGTAGGCCAGTGTTGTCAATCTTCATATACTTGTATATCCTGCATTAAACCTGTTTCCCCAGTAAACACTGATTTACACACTAGCCTCTCTGTCTTCCGTATTTGGCCAAACAGAAAAATTCCTAACTTGGGGTTGGGGATTTAGCTCAGCGGCATAAGCACCTGCCTTGCAAGCAGGCAGTCCCTGGTACCGATAAAAAAGGAAAAAAAAAAAAATTCCTAACTTACTTCACCATTTTCTTTATTCGACTCCAGAATAAGGACTTGGGCTGGGGATTTAGCTCAGTGGTGTAAGTGACTGCCTGGCCAGTGTGAGATTGTGAGTTCGATTCCCGGTACCAAAAAAAGGACTTGGGACTCCCCAGTTAAGCCTCTGACTCTGGGTCCTTGGTAACATAAGCAATGTGTTTTTATCTTCCTTTAGCTTAGAAAGTTATTATAAACCTCAAATTTCAAATAATAAATTTGAGATTTATAATATTAACTTTACTTATTCTGGAAGCCAAAAAGTATCTCAGCAATTTCAGATACAAATTTATTTCTGGAAACCTTGTGAGATATTAAAAAATTGAATCAAAATCTGAGTTAGCAAAGCCCTACTACAGGAGACGTGTCACACATAGGCCTGCTTTTTCAGTTTTTTTCCACACATGACAGGATTAGCTCTTACCAGCCCTTCAATCTCATTAAATTACTGCTAATTGAAAACATCACCTGGGCACTACTGGTACTAGAAAGACTTTCTTCTATTAAATTTCTGAAATCACTGACTTCCTAGGTGGGAAAAAGAGGAAAAGAGAGGAGAGATGAGAGGAGAGACAAGAGGAGAGGACAAAGAAAAGACCTGTAACCCTCGCATTTGGGAGGCTGAGGCAGAGGAGGATCTTTGCCAGTTTGAGACCAACCTGGACCACAAAATGAGCCCAAGTTCAGCCTAAACAGCACAGCGAGACCCTGTCTCAAAAAGACAGCAAGAAAAAAGGCAACTTAAAAATATTTGTGGGTTCTGTGTCCAAGGAATCTGACAGTTTGAAACAGAAAGGAGAACTCCCGTATCAGCATCCAGTGTGACCTCTGAATCTCCCCACACTACAAGCCAACTGGGAAAACATCAACCGTTGTTTCTTCTTTAGGCTTTTCTTTAACTAAAAGAAGACCCTTTACAGAGCTGAACCTCAAAACTTTTTAGGTCCCAAATGTCTACTAGTTATGATTTATATTTGTTTTCCTTTTCCTTGAAGTTCTCCTCCTTACAGGCAAGCATCACTTAGGTTCAGTACCCCCGCCTTCACCCCAAATCTGGCTTTAAAGCAGGACAGTCTCTCTACTGTCCCATTCCTCTCTATACTGAAATACAAGCACACTTTTCACTGCTAATGAGTTCTGAGAAAATCCTAAGAGGACCAAATTCTAGCCCTGCAAAATGGCAAGGTGAAGTCGCCAGCCCTTCACAGGGCTATGAAAATTCCTCTTCCCACAGACCACATCTTTGATAAAAGCTCCATTTTCTAAAGTGGCCAGCACATTCCCTGGAGATGTCCCCAGTACGGTGATGACACATCTCCCTGTCTTTTACTGATAGAGCTAACTTAGATTTCTAAGGATACACAGAGCATAACATACCAAGCTCACTAAGCTCAACCCCTCTCCAGCATCATAACTGGTTTTACTTTCCCTTTTTTGTTGGTTTTTGTTTTGTTTAATAACTGGCTTTTTATCAGTCTCCTATCTTTAGCCAGAGTAACCCTTTTAAAGTGCCAATCTAGGGCTGTGCGTATGAGACGCTGGACCTCAAAAGCAAAAAACAAACAAAAAATAGTAAACCTAAAAATGTCGCTTCTGTTTATAACGCTTCGGTGGCTTCCCAGTGCAGTCCTGACGGCATGCTAGCTCATCCGTCGGTTCCCACTTAGAGCTGGGCCAGTTTCCCTTTGCCTTTTCATGTCTCACTCCTTCCCTTTGCTCCCCTAGCTACTCTCCTTTACACCCACTCAATTACTTTCATTCATAGTTTTATACTTAAATTCATATTTAACCCACACAATGAGGCTACAGAGAGGGCGGAACTGTCTCCCCACTCCTTTCAAAAAAATGAGGCTCTCATCATTCCAAATGCCAAGTAATTTGCTCAAGTTTATTCAGCTAACAGCAGGTTTATGAGTCCAAGTTTATCTACCTATTCATTCCACTCATCCAATACTGTATATACCCGGGTATGTTTTAGGCAGCCGGGGAACAGTGAACACACAAGCAAATTTTATCCTTCTGCACTGTGACTCAATGTCTGTAATAAAACAGCACCTGTTCAAAACATTTCTGAGCCAGGCATGGTGGTGGTGCATGCCTGTGATTCCAGCTACGGCTGAAGCAAGAGGATCACAAATTCCAAGTCAGCCTCAGCAATTTTGCAAGACCCTGTCTCAAGATAAAAGACAAAAAGGATCGAGGGGTAGGTTGTCACTAGAGTATATGCTACCTCACATGCACATGGGTTCAACCCAGTACAGCAAAAAAAAAAAACCAATTTCTGAGGGAGAGCACTATAATTCAATGTGCCCATTCAACGTTCTTTTTTTTTAAGCAGTGGCAAAATTTATTCAAGAAAGTAAAAGTGAAGAGACTGAAACTCAATCTGCAGAGCACGCTTGGGCCAAGTAAAAAGAAAAAGAGGATATGACCAAAGCTTAAAGTACATGCTCCATCTGGAAACACAGCATAGGCTATTGTGGAAAGCTATGATAGACTCCAGTGTTCTCAAGGTATTTCTAACGCTGTCAACTGAGTTCACTAAAAGAACCTGTAAGACTCACTAGCTTTGGCTAACCCCTACCCCCACCACACACACCACCCAGAAGGCTGAACTTCCAGATTTTTTGCGTATTTTTCACCATTTATTCTATCTTTGTTTATAATCTTTTCTACTTCTCCCATAAAAATGCAAGACACATTTGTATTTTATTTGTCTTGTTACCCTAATATCAACAAGAAATGGCCACAATAAGTACTCAAAAACATGGTTTCTGCCTGTAATCCCAGCACTCGGGAGGTTGAGGCAGTAGGATCACCAGTTCAAGGCCAGCCTGGGCTACATAGCAAATTCAAGGCCAGCCTCAACTACACAGCAAAACTCCATCACAAAAAAATAAGTAAATAAATCAATAAAATTTTAAAAATACACACTGAAGTATTTATATGGTAGGGACATTAAATCTGCAACTCACCTTTAAATAATTCATAAAGAAATAATTCTGGGCTGGGGATTTAGCTCAGTGGTATAAGCGTCTGAATGGCAAGCACAAGGTCATTAGTTGAATCCCCAGTATCAAAAAAAAAAGAAACAAACAAACAAACAAAGAAATAATCCTGTTGCACATGGTGATGCGTACCTGCAATCCCAGCACTTGGGAAACAGCTAGTTTGAGGCTATGTAGTGAGTTCAAGGTCAGCCTGAACTGCATTGCAAGACCCCAAAGAACAAACAGAAGAACAAAAACAAAAAAAAATATTGCTATGTGAGAAACTCTGAGAAAGAGGATAAAGCAAATACAGCAAAATTCCTATGGGAAACTTGGGTGAAGGTTAATCACAAAATCTTTATAGTATTCATGCAAACCTCCAATTCTAAAAATTATTTTCCCTATTTTACCTTATCTACCCTCCACCCAGGCTCCTTGCATGCTAGGCAAGCACTCTGTCACTAGGCCACATACTCAGGTCTCTAATTTCTTTTTATTGTGGCAAAGTATCCATGTAGTCTTTTTTTTTTGACACTGTCACCAGGCTGACTGATCCCCCCACCACAGACTCAGTGTAACTAGGACTACAGGTGCACACCACCACACCAGTACCCAAACCCCCTCCCTCCCAGACCCTCCTAACCACTTACTTTGCGTTCTGCTTCTATGAATTTGACTCAGTATTGCACATAAGTGTAATCATACAAAACTTTCCTTCACGATGTCCTCAAGTTTTATCCACGTTGTAGCATATAACAGAATTTCCTACCTTTTTAGAGCTATTAATGTTGCACTGTATGCTTATCCATTCATCTTGTGAAGACATGGGCTATATCCACATTTTAGCTATTGCGAATCATGCAATGAATGGCAAGCATATTAATCTCCTTTCGAGGTTCTGCTTGTGACTCTTGAGTATATGCCCAGAAGTGGAACCACTGGATCACATG